GGAGCTGGCAAATCGAGCCGCAGTGGCTATGTTGGAATTGCATCATGTAGCTTTATTGGGGTTGCGTCCATACGCATAACGCTGAAACCTTTGAAGTCCGCATACTGCTTTGGTTATCATCGACAGCTCCCAGCAAGAAATCGACAGCTCCAGCAAGCTCGACCGAGCTGAGTCGAATGGTATACAAATTTCAATTTCGAAAATTTACACTTAGGATGTTTCTTTCTTGCTGGGACTGTCGGCATATACAACGAAGTCAGGGTGTCATTGTTTTTTAGCTGTGCTGTCAGGTGTCAGTATACCTATACCTTTCTTCTTCTGGCTTCTACTACATGTTTTTAATTGCATCAAATTTTGTGAATGCTCGTCCTACCACAAGGCTTTTTGCGAGTGTGTGCCGAGTGCCGACCAACACCTTCTGAGCGCAGCGCAAATCCCACAGCGTTTTGTCAACAGTCGCTGCCAAAACTCACTGTTTCCGGCTTCACCATTCACCAACTGACTGGGAAAAGATCTATATGTTGGCACAATGGGCCACATAACCGCAGCAGCAGCCGCTCCGCCACCGCCCGGCGCCCACCAGCCGCTCCAGGGAGTTGGCTCACAGCCCGACAGGTTCCATTCAGTCCCGGACATTACAAGCTCGTGATATCATCGGCGGTCGCCATCAGAAACAACTGGTTCGACGGAGACGCAAACAAATGTGTCGTGCCGACGGCGGTCGCTAGGCTGGATTCAGTCATTTGTGGTGAATAAAGAGTGTATCAATGGAACATGTCTAATAAATAAATGGAAGTTATCGTTTAGTTGATTCATCCGAGCAAAGATAATGACAAAATTCTGAATCCATCTTCGCTCGGATTAGTCAAATGATACATCGTCCATTCCTTAGAAATCTTTCCATCGTCCGTTCCATAAAAAAGAGACGGTAACATCGACAAACAAGTTTACTTGTATGACATTATACGATAAAGTGACGTTTTCTCTCTGTCCTCCCGCAGATCTGGTGTCCGGCCAGGCTCTGCAGCTGTCTCTCAGTCGCCGTGAGCACGTCATGTTCGCCGACAAGTCTCTGTTCGTGAGCTGTAAGGGCCGTGACCCGGTGGATATGAAGTGGTTTGGTCCCAGTGACCGTCAGATCGTCGAGCGCACCGGACCGTGAGTGGGGGGGGGAGAGAGAGAAAGAGAGGAGGGACACTCCACACTCTATATGACAGGGGGAGAGGAGTGAGAACACCCCACTTGTGACAGGAAAGGGATGCACTCAACACCGGAGTGATGCGCTGCATAACACTCGGTACATAGCGAAAGGCTTGCACTTTCGTGGTCCATCATATTCGTGGTGGTTACAGACACGCACCGTTCTGCGCAATGGGAGGGCTACATTTTGCCGGCCGCCGGGAAGTGAGTTATGTTCTGCTGCAGACGAAGTCACATGCGTCATACATCCCACGGATCGAAGAAGCGTTGCTTTGACGTTGAGTGATAGCCATGTAATCGTGTAGAAAGCGTATTTTACGATTGTTTTGTGGCGCTCAACCAGTTGTTTTGTAGCGCTCAACCAGTTGTTTTGTGGCGCTCAACCACTGCGTGTAAGGTGTGTCCCTGACCTCATTGGTGCCATTTCAGCTTGATTCCTCCAGATAGGAATGCCAGCGTCGACAACCCGTTCCGGTAACTGAACGAGCCCATTTGTGTGTGTGTGTCTGTCTGTGTGTGTCCGTCTGTTACCCTCTCGTCTAACTGTGTGTGATAATACCTTTTGTGTTACTGACTTTTGTGACGTTTGTCTGACTTTTACACTAACATTGTGATTTGTGAGCCTCACTTGCATCTGACCTTTATGTCCGTAACAAAGTTTTGTGTGTCATGTCACATAGGTAATAGGTTTGGATCGTATTCCCAACCATAAATTGGCTAGAGACGAATGGTAGGATAGGGGCATGCCCTATATGTTTCACTTTAACACCAATTGGTAGAAAGTGCTTATTTAAGAATGCCTTAGTCCAAACGATATTACTTATGTGGATTTGTACTTTGTATCGATCAAGGATTAAATGAGCATGTACTCGATTGCAATATGTTCATTGAAAACCAAAGTCGTCAAAATTTGTTACGCGTGACATTGGCAGTAACTTCGTGCACGTTTTTTTCTGCTGACACATGCCGCCTCATCCCCACGTGCCATCTCACCTTCACGTGCCACCCAATCCCCACGTGCAGTCTCACTGACAGGGAGTCTCACTGGGACAGACTTGATTCATTGATTCTCTCTCTTCCCACTCGATCCATCATATCAAGTCATCAATATCATATTGCTGCTGTTCAGTTTATCATAGCTCACTGCACAATACCCACACATTCCGAGAGTTTTTAAGGTTTACTGTGCCGATTTGTCATTACCGATGCAATGCAATACTCAATCGAATTTCCTCGTTGCCTGCCTTATTGCATTCTCATCGTCTTACAAATGATTTGGTCGGTAATGAAACGTACCGACTGGCAAGTTGTGCGTGGCAACAAAATCGTTCTTTCGTCATCCTTCGGTGCTGTGCCTCTCCCGTGCTCCTGGTACTGTCTTGGTAGTTTGTCCCTAACACATCGTTGCATTCCCACTTACGTTCTATCCTTTCCCATGTTTTCCTTTGTTATCCTTTCCCATTTCCCTGGCTCGCAACGTCAACCATTATGTTATACGCCACTCCTCAAAGGTGTTTCAGAGTTTTTAAAATGCGGCTGAGGTGACTATTACCACCGAGTTGGCACGGAGTTTGGCGGTGGTATGAGAGACACGAGAGGAATGACGGCTGGCCAGGTGGAGTCTCAACAGAGCTCTCCGTGGGGTGGGCTGGGACCGGGTGGGTCAATTGACGGGGACGTGTGGCTGGCCAGAGGGGAGGGGGAAGAGCGCGACGGGCGGGACGGGGCAGCGAGCTTGGCTAGAGGCAAGATAATGGGAAATGTCTACATAAATTTACCTGACACTGGTGAGTCTCATAGGTTTACTGGGAACTATAAAAGATCATAATTATCTATCTACATTGAACATCACTAGCTGCCAAAGCTGTTCGTTTTTATAAGCGATTATCAGCAGTCGTTATGCTCACATATTTTTTCTTAGATATCAATTCTACTGACCAGACTATAGTCCAGTGATTCCTGTAGACTGCCGGCGCTTTTTAGTGGCTTCACCACGGTCACCTTATCGACGTCTGAAACCAAACCGAATCTGGGGATGACAGTGCTATGGTGAACTGCGCACTGCACTGGCTTATCCTACTGCAAGGGCGGGCGACCTCTTAATGTGATTCTTTGACGTCGGCACAGGAGTGTATCGTATTGGTGGTCTATTGTAACTCTTACTGCTCATAGATTGATGCGGAACCACCAGTACCTGGCCAACAAGCAAAATACGTGCAAAGTTTGTCTTGAATTTTCGCATCAGACAGTCGTTATGGGACCAGTGTTTTTTTTTTTTTTAACAGTTGCAACGATAAAACTGTAAAGCAGCACACCCTACACCGCCGTCTCATTACTGTGCAGTCTGTAAAAATGTATTATTAAAAAACGGCATTGCGTCTGGCGGCCAAAACTGTCGCTTTATTGTATGGTGTTACCCAGAAACAGCGTCTTTTTACGCTATGTCTCCCAAACGGTCCCTCGTTAGCTTTATTGCCGCGACTTTAAACCTTGGCTGGATTGCGTCATTTCGTTTAAATAGTCTCTTCGCCGCGACATCAAAACCCCCCTAACAACATATACCGCACAATAACCCCTTTGCTGCGTCAAAGCACCCTGAACCCTTCCCACGTCATCACCTTCTACTGTGTACCCCGTCGGCCGCTCCTTAGCAACTTGCTGAGTTATAACTCTTTTCCCGGGACCGGTCGACCGCGCGCCGTGCGCTGCCGGTGGCCCCGGACCGATAACGGAGACTCAGTGTCGCCCGAGGCGATTTATAGCCGTGGGGCGCGCGACGGTCAGGGCCTCGGATAGAGCCTAGGCAGGGCACTGGACAGGGCTACCTCCGGACAGGATATCGGACATGATTCAGGAAGGGTTCAAATGTTCAAATACCGTTTATATAGGACAGACAGTGGATACTGGTCAGGGCATCGAGTAGAGCCTCGGATAGCGCCTAGACATCAGACAGGGCACTGGACAGTGTTCGCTGCGGACAGTATATTGGACGGGACCCGTAAAGGGGCCGTATGTGTGGCCGTCTTGTGCCGTCTGTGTGAGTCGCCTCTGTGCAGACTGAGGTCAGATTGATCGCCCGTTTCACGGGACGCGCCTCCGAGCTGAGCCGAGTGATTCAGGCCGTGTTTTGGATGCTAAACTGAGCTGAGGAGGCACATTTGTTGGTGGACGGCTGGGCCTGCATGCGATGTTGAACGTCTACCGGATCGAGCTAAGCCGAGAGAAGCAGATAAATCTGAATCATTGTTGGTTCCTTTTATGTATAGTTCTTGTTAGGTGGAACGTTTAATTGACATTGTTTTAGTCAAACGAATCTCGCTTTCATCCATTTTTTGTCTTTTGCCTCCGTATGAAAGTCACGTCAGTTGCAGAGAGCTGAGCGCAAAGTTTTTCTTTTATTGAATTCAAAAGGACAAGTGATTACAAATAGCTGTGGGTTTGTGTACAGTTTAAAGACATGATATGAAACATCCGGCAAGTAATAAGAAAAGACGCTTGTCTTTCATGCCCTCTGTTTTCGAAATCACATTTCTGGTACAAGTAAAATGCGCGGTATTTTTATGCTCGTCTTGAGCTCCGCAGAAGAGCAAGATATTCATGCGTAAGGTCTGTTATGTAACATCCAGCGAGATGAGATTCCATATATGTAACGATGTGGCTCTGAGAACCTACCGGCTTTTCCTGCTATGAAAGTAATGCGATGATATTCTGCGCATAGCGCTGTCGTTACGTATCTGCGTGCAACTGATCTGCCGGCGTAATGGTACACTGGATATCCCATAGCCTTGATAAAGGCATAGTATTTCCTCGTTATATCTGCTGGCATTTTTAGCTCCAGGCTCCGTACGACTGATGCTCAGCTGGCACCTTACATGAGTTGGCTTCGACTTTTTAATTTTCTGGTGTGAACTTTGAAGTCGTTCCGCTCGTTTGCACGGCGCGGGTGTAATTAATAGCTGACGTGTCGCCGGGTCCGTGTCGTTATGCGGGTTTTAGTGCCGATCACAGGCCGTATTCGGAGTTACAGGTGTGGACCGGGCCCGGGGTACTCCCCAAGGGCGGTCCGTCACGCAGATAGCGGGTCAGTGGGTCTGTGGGACTCTACAGGTGGCCAGAGAGCGGGGCCAGGTGTGCTACCGGCTGAATGGTGAAGGAATTTCACAACTGCGGTGTCTGGAGCAATCTTTTGGCATTGTTTGGAAAGGTCAGTTCGACAGTTGTGATAAGAGGATCACGATATGACTTGGTTTACTGATTATTTTGTATTCTTATTTTTATTGGTGTCAAAGTGTATTTAAGTAGTTAAGACAACTGTGCAATGATGACATTAGCGGCAATGATGCCACGACGCTATAGCGATTATAGGGATGATCGCGAACCCGTTCATTAACGATTAATGTCCGAAATTGAAACGCTCGAGCCTACATTTCCCAAGCAGCCCCATGTGCTACAATCGGTAATTCGAATCAAGACACTTTTACTATTCATCCAGTGCACTTATGTAACAAAAATTATTATATTTGATTGCGTTTATGAGACATAATATTTCGTTTTCTGAATGGTGCGTTATGTGGAATCCATCGGTCAGTACCGGTTTGTCCCATGAGGACGTCTCCGGATATTCTCGGCCCGACCTCTGTCCGTCGGTATGTTTTAATCAGCTCTCGGTCGGGGACTGAACACGTAATTAGCCGTGCTAGCGGAGGCCGTGTCGGCGTCAGAGGATGATCCTTTCCGCTCTACCCCCGTCCTCCTCCACTCTACCTCCGAGGTCGGGCGCCCGACGAACCGGGGTAACTGGAGGCGTATTGATTTTTCAGCCTGTGACGTCACAGCTCCCAGATCCCGGGTGGCGCCGCGCGGGACGGTTTGACCTAGTGAATGAGAGGAAGGGGACGGTTTGACCTAGTGATCGGGGGACGGTTTGACCCATTGCATGAGAGCGAAGGGATCTGACTGAGTTCCTGTGAGGGGGGGGGGGTCTAATCCACTGCAGGGGAGGTCCGACCCACTGGATGGGAGGAAGGGAAGGGTTTGAGCAATTTAACAGGGAGGTTTGACCCACTGAGTGGGGACAATTTGACCCACTGAATGGGTGAGGATTTGACCCAGTTTAGGGAGAATAGTTTAAGTCCCAAGGGAGGGCAAGCAGCTAATTTTGGGTAGGACAGTCTTTCTTTTCTTTCGAGAGGAGAGTCGGGTCCACTAAAGGAAGAAGTCTGATCCGTTCTTTACGTTTAACCTTTTCGATATATCCATGGCACCCAGCGGTGTCTTGCATTTGCATTTTCCATATATTTAGCAGCTTTTCAATTGAGCTTGTCTTACCTACTTACTTAATGGGTTTCTGTAATGTTTTACCAAACTAACCAGGGTGTAAAGTTTGCATTAACTTTGTCTTTTATGTTCCGCGAGTTGATGGCCGGTGCCCAAGCGGCCACGTTTTGACCATGCCTGAACCATAATGTGCTGCCCGACTTTCACCAACTAATGAACTAACAACGTAACTTCCATCGTGCAACAACACAGGCATGATCTCCTGCAAAGGATTAAGCTATCGCAGAATGGAACATCTTTAAAGGGACTATCCCACCTTCTGAAATGTTGTTAAAACCAGTTGAATTGTGCCCGACTTTATAGATTGGATGATCAGGAACACGGTTCTGGCATTTATTTTTCATTAAACATCTTAGGCTTCCCATATTCCAAACACAAACTTTCAAATATGTGACGTCACAGCCCAAAATTACCTCCTTCCCCAGGCCACATTACTGTCATAAAGCTGATTCTTTTTACTCTGTATAGGCACCACAACAAAGTTCAGACCAAGTTTTAAGCGATTTTTCAACGAACAAACCCATTTAAATCAGAATGACTAAACGAGGTGACGTCACACTAACGGTCGCTCCATGTTGAAGATAGGGCCTTGTACAAGGCCCATTTTCAAATGAAGGGAACGAATTTCTTCCACACCAAGAGGCCGCGGGGGTTGCAACCTAGACAGATAGTGGTTTCTGAACCTCGCCGCAAACTTGGCTATCTCAACTCAAATCCCATGTTAAAGGTGGGATAGTCCCTTTAAACTATTTCACTTTTATAGCTGTCTTTACGACTTCTTTATTCATAATTGGCTAGCTCATGTGACATGGTCATTTTTATGCATAGATAGGTAACTGTTAGTCTTTATTGTTTGTATGTATGTACGTTTATGTCGGTATCTACTATCTGTCTGTCTGTCTGTCTGTCTGCCCTTCTTTATGTCTGTCAGTCCAACAGTCAAGTCTGCCAGTCTGTCTTTATGCCATCTGTGACCATACAGGCTGCGTTTTAACCCTCTCAAACCCGTCTGTTTACCCCGTTGCAGTGTTCGTGTGGAGCCGAGCCGGGCCCGGGACGGTCTGCAGGGCGTCGACCTACTGCTGAACCCCGTGAAACGGAAGGACAGCGGCGTCTACCGGTGCCGCGCGCGCGTCAACGACAGGGTCGAGGAGGCCTCCTTCGAGCTGATCGTGCTCCGTGAGTAGAAACCCTGAACCATGGGGCGGCTGTGGGCAAGGCATGGCGGCTGCTTTGCGCAGGGTAGGGGCTGTGATATTACCATTCCAGTCTGTTCTTCCGCCGTATACCTTCTCCCCTCCCCTCACACACGCGCACACACGCATACACACGCACACACATCCCTGCCGCTGGAATTATCATCAGGCCGGCGCGCCTGCGGCAAATCGCGGGGCGGCGGGCGCGTATTTCTCCATGCGTTATGCGCTCTCTGTCCTCAGCACAGCAGTAATAAAGCCACCAGAGGGGCCGTATTGAGTTTCTCCGTGTGCCGACTGTCATTTCCGCCCCCGTCACGGCCCGTGTACGTGCCCGATCTATTGATCCCGTATGCAGGTGCAGTGTTCTGGGAGCGGGGTCTTTGTTAGACGGCTGTCTCACGTCTGATTGCGCAGATATCGGGAAATCACACCTGGCTAGTAGACCAGGCGCTGGGCAATGAGTTCGCGGTAGGTGTAGAGATGAGACGTGCTTTGAATCGTTAGATCTTCTCGGATATAAAATTGAGTGGAAATTGCAGGGCAGTGGTCTCGGTCGGTTCATCCCTTTGACGCATCACAGCGGGATTTTGTGAATGAATGTAAAAGAATACAGCTGGTTGTCGATGTCGATTCTTGGTACTCGGCGCAACGCTTAGTGCATTATGTGATACGCAACACCAGAAATTGTTGGATATATGCTGTAAAAACAGCATGTCTCCAATTCCTATTGCACCGTAGAACAGTTCAAGGCTTATGCTAAATTATGCTGGTGAATTTGTGTAATAAGATCGTTTCACCCACATTGTCGAATCAGTTAAACTTAGTTATTCAAACCAGATGCATCACCTGGATGGTGCATTTAGGTACGTTGTGCAGTGTGCACACGTTAAGTATCTCAGCGGCATTCGTTTTACCGAATGAGGCGCCCGGTTTGACTCGGCCGGCCCGTGAGCGCGATACCTGTACTGGTAGGCTGTACCGCAATACTTCCACGCTCGGCGGCACAGCATGACATACTCTGAACGGCGCACGGTATCTGTTCTGTTCTGCGCTCTTGCTACGGCAACAGATCACAGCCGCAACACGGGGCAAGAGTCACAGTAATAAAACGTCACGTCATTGATAAAGCTACGCATTATCATAATGCCGATTGTGAACAGCTAAATTCATCACGGGAAAATCGTTACTCAGCTGCTTTTCATCTGCGCCGTTTGGTGAATCACAAACACAACAACCACCACTGAGGGAGCCGCGTCCGCTCCTGGCTGGAGATTTGGCACCACGTGGCGGCCGGTTCCTGTCTGAACGGTATGCCAAGCGGTCCATCCGCGCCCCGCGGCGGGACAGCCTCTGAGCGGAGCGTCCGGCGAGTGACCCACCCACCCGCTCCGCCGCGCCCTGTTCCCAAACTGGGCTTCCTGTTTGGACACACTTTAGCCGAGCCGGTACCCGTATTGGTTGTCAGGTCTCGTAAACCAAGACTAATGGCTGACGTGTGTCTCTCCGAGCTACTGAATGTTTACCGGCGGCTCCAGCTATGAGGACAAATGTGTTCGACCGCCCGCCTTCGGCGTAATCACAAACACTCTGTCTTGTTACAACACATGCGGGCTGTGTGCGATGCACATAACTGGTTTTAACCAGCAGACACCGCGCAGTTAATGTATCAAACAAAAGGCTCAACTGTCATATAATTGTTATGTTTCCGATCCTCAATTTTCTTCCTTAGCACAGCCATCTTTCAATTTATTTGTTCGACTCTTCAACTCTATTGTGCTCTTTTGAAATGTAGGTATGCCGTTAACGATCATTTAAGAGTTAAGTAATGTAATTTAAGACAAATTACGGTTGGATACTGTAACAGCTGTGCCAACCGCTCCTGCACTGCCAAACCAATGTATCAGATAACTCCAGGGGCGGATCCAGGAAAACTCCAAGGGGAGGGTCATGAATCGAAGTGGTGCCCCTACCTATACCCAAAATTAAAAACTCAACGGATTTCGTCCACTTCATTTTGGTGGTGCCCCCATTTTCAGTTTTTTTTCTTTTTATTTTTTATTTTTAGTCAGTATCTTAACTCTTAGCCACAACCACATTTACCAATTGTAAGCAAGTATATATGAATGTGCTATGTGCATAGATGCTATGTGTATATATGTTGTGGACGCTGAGTAGTGAGTACTTACCAGGAACGTTATCAGGTAAGCAAATCGTTGTCAGTCCGACGAACTTGACCCTGGCGTCTAAAGGGTCTGTCCTTGACACTTCAGGCTTGTCAGGGGCACCAAAGTCCTTCCAGGGACACCACAAACCTTTCAGGGGCACCTACGGCCTTGTAGGGGCGCCACAGGCCCGCCAGGGGCACCACAGGCCTGCCAGGAAGTAGGGGCACCACAGGTCTAGCAAGTATACACGACAGGCCTGTCAGGGGCACAACGGACCTGTTGGGCCCATGAGCACCCCTAGGGGCAGGGGCACCACAGTCCTTCCAGGGGCACCGCAGGCCTGTGAGGGGCACCAGCGGCCTAGCAGGGGCACCAGTCAACACAGGCCTGCCAGGGGCACCACAGACCTGCAAGGGGCACCAGAGGTCTGCCAGGAGCACCACCGACCTCGCAGGGGTAACTTGGGCCTGTCAGGGGCCAGGGGCACCACGGGCCTGTCGAGAGGCACTTCAGGCTTTTCAGGGGCACCATAGTCCTCTCCGGGCGCAGGGGTAGCAGGGGCACCAGAGGCCTGCCAGGGGCACTACAGGCCTAGCAAGGGCACCACTGGTCTATCAGGGGCACCACGAGCCTGTCATAGCCAGGCATCTCAGGCTTGTCAAGGCCCAGGGGCACCACAGGTCTGTGAGGGGCACCAGCGACCTAGCAGGGGCACCAGTCAACACAGGTCTGCCAGGCACGCCACAGACCTGCCAGGGGCACCACAGACCTGCCAGGGGCACCAGAGGTCTGCCAGGGGCACCACCGGCCTCGCAGGGGCACCTTGGGCCTGTCAGGGGCACTACGGGCCTGCCGAGGGGCACTTCAGACTTTTCAGGGGCACCAATCCTCTCCGGGCGCAGGGGTACCAGCGGCCTAGCAAGGGCACCAGAGGCCTGCCAGGGGGCACCAGCGGCCTAGCAAGGGCACCAGAGGCCTGCCAGGGGCACCACAGGCCTAACAAGGGCACCACGGGCCTGTCAGGGGCACCTCAGGCTTGTCAGGGCCCAGGGACACCACAGTCCTTCCAAGGGCACCGCAAGCCTGTCAGGGGCACCAGAGGCCTGCCAGGGGCACCACAGGCCTAGCAAGGGCACCACTGGCCTGTCAGGGGCACCTCAGGCTTGTCAGGGCCCAGGGGCACCACAGTCCTTCCAGGGGCATTACAAACCTGTCAGGGCACCAGAGGCCTAGCAAGGGCACCACAGGCCTGCCATGGACACCACAGGCCTGCCAGGGGCACCACCGCCCTTGCAGGGGCGCCTCAGGCCTGTCAGGGGCACCACGTGCCTACCGGGGACACTTCAGGCTTGTCAGGGGCGTTACAGTCCTGTCAGGGCCCAGGGGCACCAGGCCCGTGGTGTCCCTGCTAGACCTGTGGTGCCCCTGGCGGTCCTGTGGTGCCCCTGTCAGGACTGTGATACCCCTGATAAGTGATAGGCCGGTGGTGCCCCTGGCAGGTCTTTGGGCCCCCGGGCCTCAAGGGGGGGCCATGACCCATGTGACCCCCCCCCTTGGATCCGCCCCTGGATAACTCAACCACCTGCGTTCCAGACCTAGTTTGCCCGTTGCCGAGCCTCGCGTCGTTATCAGACCTACGAGTTTCTGTAGTTCAGTCCAACCAAACAGCTTCAGTTCTCACTCTGACCGAACTGTTTTACTTCTGGTCTGCCGAACCATGCTCCAGTCGTACTGAATTAACTAGTCCAGGCCGTAAGGAACTTCCTCAGGTTAACCGAATTAGTTACCCCCAGTGTGACCGAGCTGTCCCAGTTGAGTCCAAACGATTCATATCTTACCTACTGTTAACGCCAGACCCCTTGAGACCCTAATTTTTCGCGTTCATTTTTGAATGCGTGGAAGAATTTCAACCAAGCTCAGGACATGGCCGTTTCAAGACCTGCCGAAACTTTTACAATTTAGATATTTTGTCGCCATTTCAATATTTCAGGCACCTCTCATTGACTCGTAATGTTAAATTTCGAGCAAGATTTCACCCGGTGTGTAGAGGCTATCACCAGTCAGTCTGTGATACGTTATGACGTCACAGCTAAGCCCCGCCTCTGTGGTCTTGGCCTGCGGCGGTTTCGGGCCGGCGCGCGGTCACTCGCGCGACTCGCGCTGTGGCGGGGAGCGGGGACGGTCGAGCGGTGCCGAAAGCCGGCAGAGTTGTGCGTAACGTCTTGTCTGACAGTGCCCAAAGAGTGACATGATGACTTAGGAGCAATGAATGCTAAATGCGCATTGCTTGTACAAGGCTGATATGTTCGCGGATATTTGTTTGATCTTTATAAGCTGCAAATGACGGGCAGATGGCATATACCTGACACAAGGTTAGGAAATATTCACCTGTATTTAAAGCCTATGGCGTTGCAGATAACGCGATAATGGGATGTCGGATGTCATCAAGTAGCTGCTGATTTGTACTGTACATCGTTATGCACCCATCGATCAACGCAACACAATAATAAGTTAATTGCCTTCGCTTCACATCATAAGGCTCGCTCGTATTTCACCAAGCAGATATCCTCCATCGAAAATCGTATTTGTTAGGAATCGTTAACGTTTGTTCGAAGCATGTGTGAGTAGTAGGTTGAGGAGTGATGGTCCTCTTGGTTCTATATATAAGAGTCAACAAGAGCCTAACATTTACTTGACCGTCTACTGAACTTGATTCATAGCACGTGAAGCGTCAGCGAAATTCATAGTCCTTTACAGATGGCAGGGGTGTCGTTTGTACAGAGGTCGCTGATGGGCACGGGTCAATGCCGCAGTCGTGGGCGGAGCCTAATGTCATATGACGTATGAAAGCCTCTATCCAGGATGGAAAAACAGTTAACATTACGAGTCAATGACAAGTGCCACAAACATTAAAGTGACAACAAAATGTATTTGAAGAAAAAGTTTCGGCAGGTCTTGAAACGGCTATTTCCTAAATGTGGTTGAAATTATTCCACGCATTTAAAAATAATCGCGAAAAATTAGGGTCTCAAGGGGTCTGGCGTTAACAGTAACTGCCCCAGTCTGACCAAAGCGCCCCATATCTGACCGCCCCGCCCCTGTGTTCCAGAGCCGATCCAGTTCCGTCCGGAACAGAAGGTACAGTACGCCGCCGAGGGCTCAGACTTCATACTGCGCTGTGACGTCACCGGCGAGCCCAAACCGGTGGTCACCTGGCGAGGGGTGGCGCCGCTAGAGATGGGACCGGGTGAGTACCGAGTACTTGTAGAGATGGGTCCGAGTGAGTACCGAAACCGGTGGTCACCTGGCGAGGGGTGGCGCCGCTAGAGATGGGACCGGGTGAGTACCGAGTACCTACCGATAGAGATGGGACTGTGCGAGTACTGGTAGGGATTGGATTGAGTGAGTATTGCTAGGAAGAGCGTGTACGGACGAAGATGGGACCAAGCATTGCTGGTTACACACTGCATAGTGAACACAGAGTCTCTCAGAGAGCAGGCCATCTCAGAGCTAAGAACTTGTCATTGGCTGGTCACAGCTGAGCGCCGCTACCCGCCGTGTCTCCTCCATCCAAATCTGTCCTCCGGTTATCGACTTCCGGCCGATGCACCCCGCGCGGTCTCTGTCTCGGTCCGGCTGGCGGACCCGCGGTGTCTGAGCCGATCAGGGATCCATCTCATCAGACCCGGTCGCCGCCTCTGTCCTGATTAACGGAAAGGGTTCCGGGACCGGCGCGGCGGCGAGAGCAGCCACAGCCCGGTCCCGGAGACGGGACATGTCCGGGCAGGACGAGGGAAAGGTCGGGAAGGGATTCTGAGAACCAAATACCTAACCCCTAGCACGGATTCTCAGAAATGGGGACATATCCACTTATCCAATGATGGTAATTTCCGGACTAGGGTCACCTCAGACATGGTTTCCCAAAACTAGATTATGTTCGAATCACTACTCAGTGGAATGGCGGCCGCTGCTGCGAAGTCGCTCCTCACCTGGATTTATTTTGATTTTTTGATTGAGGGGTTTTCCGCCATCAAAACATGGGGTATTGGTTGGACAAGCCTTCAAGGCATGATCTCTAAATTGTGCTTGAATGTAATGAAATTTAGCATTACCCTTGATGCTTCAAATTTGCTCATTCAAAGGATGTAGGAGGTGCATCTGCATATGCATTTACACTTTACTGCATTGATCATTTGCCTCTCTTGATTCTTAAATCTGGTCGATCAGAATGATTAAAATATGGGGTGGGAACCAAGCAGCCTTGACTAGACTGTGTATGTCGGAATCTCTTGGCTGTGAAGTTCATTTACCTTTGTCGTCTTAAGACGGCTTCGAATGGCACTTTCGTCCACTCAAACGTGCTGAAACTCGCCAACTTGGCGCTCTATTCTCCAAGTTGGCAGTAGTCCTCCAAATAACAGTATGTATGCATGCTCTAAAATGAGCTGGACGAATCCCGAGAGCTCCTCCCCTTCACACCGGTCTTTGACACTCTGAAAGTCACCCCAGACACCCTCCCTCCTCCCTCTCCCTCTCCCTCTCCCTCTCCCTCTCCCTCTCTCTCTCCCTCTCCCTCTCTCTCCCTCTCCCTCTCTCTCTCTCTCTCTATCTATTTCTTTCTCTCTCTCTCTTCCTCTCTCTCCCTCTCTCTCTCTCCTCTCCCTCCTTTCTCCTCCCCAACTCCACCCTCTTACCCTCTCCCCCGTGCTCTATCTCTGTCCCATCTGATCGCCCCAGGCCATGTCGCCGACCCCTCTCTGCGTCAGCTGCCAATCGAGCCAGACTGAGCTCAAACTATGCGCGCCGCGTCTGCCGCTGAGTTCCCCGGCGTTCTTGGCTCGCTCGACCGGTCGGATGACCTCGCCACGGTCGGTAAGCAGACAGCTGATTGACCCGAGCCGACAACGGATTACGCCGCGACGGTCGTCGAGTGCCGCGCTATTTTGCGCCGTTTTGGCGTTCTTGTTTGGCTTTTGGCACCAGGCGTATCTCCCCACCTGACTGATGGGCTGCTAAGTTTCGTCATCTCAAATGTTTGCTGTTTTTATCGTTCGTAGCTGAGAACCTTGGCATTGATTGCGCACAAAACATTGCTGGCGTCACTTGGCTGCGTCTGTGGATGGTCAAGGGTGCGAGTGCGAGCTCCTCGATAGTTGGATGGCCGTCTTGGCTGATTGCCCGGAGGCATTGTGTGACCCAAGCAGTGTCAGGGACCTCGGGGCCGACGCCTCTCGACAATATATCGTTTACGAATTGCGACAGCTATCTGCCGTTGTTTTATTGTCAAATGAAAGTAATTGTGGACAGAAAGTTTTGATCTTGAAGCTCTTCCCCTCCCCACTTACTTAGGCACCTTCTCGTCATTGCAATCAATCCAGAATAACTTTCAGCTCGGCTCATCCCAATTCAATGAGATATTCAGCGGCTCTCCATTTCTTTGGCACGAATTTCACCAACCAAACGCCATTGGACTGTACTGAACAGCCCTATTTTACCCTGCAGTTTATCCATTGGGACAAAGTTCAGACCCAAACTCGCCTGGTCTCCAGAGTGGAATGGCCTCTCACTCTCGGCACGTGGCGCTCGTTTTAGGGCGTCCGATTTCGGTGGACAGTTTTGGAGTTTCCGATTTCGATGCGCCGCCAGGCGCGTCCCCGGTCTGTATCTGTAGGTGATGCATGTTTAAAACTCAATCAGGGCCGCCCCGGCCGCTGGAGGGGGTTAGAGCTCAGAGTCGCCCGCCCGGTCTCTCGTCGCGGAGAGAGAGAAAGAGAAAGAGAGAGAGAGAGAGAGAGAGAAAGAAAGAAAGAGAGAGAGAGAGAGAGAGAGAGAGAGAGAGAGAGAGAGAGAGAGGAAGAGAGGGGAGAGAGAGGACAGAGAGCAGAGAGGACAGAGCTGAGGAGATGAATAGTCCATGTATTCAATAGTCGGGTTGAAACGGGGAAATGCTGTTCAGAAGATTTTGCATTGTAAAGTCATCAATCGATGCCGTCGTTATTTGATACATCGCTGACTTTTATCTGGGGACAAACGAGAGAAAAATGGAAATGTAAGAGGGAGAGAGAGAGAGGGGGGAGAGAGAGAAGGGAGAGAGAGAGAGAGAGAGAGAGAGAGAGAGAGAGAGAGAGAGAGAGAGAGAGAGAGAGAGAGAGAGAGAGGTAGGCTGTAAGAAAGGGAGAGAAAGGAGAAAGCTCCGTATCGTTACCATCTCACAGATTATTGTTGATTTTGCTTCAATGATGATAAACCTAAATCGCTTTGAGCCCCTGTATGTTTGTGTGGGCCAATAGATAGCATTTACATGGGTATTTGTGTTGTTCACGACGATGTATGTAAGTAACAGGCTTACGGTAACTCTATTTTGCCATTAGATGTGCATCGGTACTCAGCGAGTTTTCGTTTTTACGATGACCTCAGCGTGGATGGCACGATCTCGCCTGTGCCTGTCGTCGGCCATGAATTTTAACGCCGACAGCCGAGTACCAATATCGTTTTTGGTCGACGGTCGCCGTCTGTTTTTGTCGCTCGGGCCGGTCACGCTGTCGGTGAGAGGAAGTCGGCCGCGGCGCCGCTCCCTGGGGTCCCGCCAACTGGCTATTGATTCCAGCCGGCATCCCGAGGTGCCCCCTCTCTCTGCTCTGCCGGTCCCCCTCACTCTGCTCTGCCGGCCCCCTCCGGCTCTCTGCCGACCTCCTCCGTTTCTCTGCGGCCGGTCGCCTGACGGTGGAGCCCGCCTCGCCGTCCCGGGGGTGGGAACACACGACAGACTCATAGGATCGAGGAGCCAGGCCGCCGGCTGTGCTTTGTGTGGTGATCCGTTCCTTCTGTCCGGGGCGCCGGGAGCAGCCATGAATAGAGAGCGGCTTATGGGAGCGCTGACCCGCACTCGTATGGAACTGGTGGCCTCTACCCATGGACCAATGGATAGTGAGCGTTGTCCGTATATAGGCAATCCTATTCTCGCATTATGAAGTTTATGAGGAGAAACACTGTTGTTGATGGTGCTTATTTGAAAGTACTTCGATGATCGGAATGTTCCGAATTGGCAGTTCCGAAATTATCAAGTTTGTGCTTCAGTCTTCAGTGATGAGAAAATCAACTTCCAAAATCCTCACCCTTGTAATACTTACACCTTGCAGTTTTCACCGAAGCCGTGTTTCGCTAGCATATTTCGTGTTTCTCCAACTTGTTTCGTGTTTCGTTCTCCTCCTCTCCGTGACGCCCCATCAACTCTCACGCTCCCACCACCGCCCTCGTTCCGCATTTCCTCGTAACCTCCGCCGCGCGGACACGTCATGCCATTCCATCATGCGGCTTCGGTACCATTCCGTCATGCGACATTCCGTCGGCCGTCATCATCCCGACTCGGGACGGTGTTTGGCGTGCCTGTGGCGTTTGCGGCGCGGCCGGACGGACGTTCTAAGGCCACGTCCTCCGCCGGATACGACCGGCCACGCCAGGTCAGAGCAGGAAATGGCCTTCTCGGCGGTCCGGACGGAAAACCAACGAGACAGACGAGGGGTCTGGGCAGTCTGAGAAGGGGACAGGATGGTCTGGAGCGGAACAGGCTGGTCTGGTGTGGGTCAGACAAGTTGGAACGGTCTATGGGTCGGAGGGATGGGCTGGTTCGGGACGGGATAGGATGGTCTGGAGTGGATCAGATTGGTCCGATATGGGACAGCGAAGTTTTGAAAGGTCTGCGGGTCGGAGGGATGGGCCGGTTTGGAAGGAGGATAGGATGGTGTGAAATGGGACTGAGTGGGTCGGGTGAGACACCATCATTTGGGGAGGAAAGTCACGGGACCAATAAGGCTGATGTGAGTTAGAGGTAAGCTGATATGAGATGGGACAAACTGCCTAATCTGAGATAACAATCCCTGATCGACTACCCGAGGAAAAATATCTTTCGATGTAGGCTGGAACTGTAGGTTTCCGAGAAGTCCAGGACGAATGACGATATTTAGCGTTCGGAAGTGTTAAAACGGTGCTTGAGAAGTGCTGAAGCGGGAGCAGGCTCAATATTAGCGCCAGAATGTTGACTCAGTTATTTGAACGTGAAAGTGTCCCTCCCGAAATCCTCACAAAGTCTTTCTGTTCTCTCTCCCCATTGCTTGCTGAAAATCCGGCACATGTTTTCCAACTCCGTTACATCCCATGTTCTGGTGCCACCAACCGTCATGACCTGCAACGACATACTAGAGAGCTAATTTGGCCGACGACGGCGGCGTCAGCTCTGAGTTGAGCCGGTCATGACTGGGCCGTCCATCAGGTCGATGGGTCGGCCGTGTCGGCGGCACAGCCCGGCTACTCCGGGATTCTCCGACCTCTCCGCACTGAGCCGCGGCGGGATGGGACGGGGGTGTCATGAAGACAGTGGCACAGATTGTGTGGAGTCGGCTAGAATTTAGCGGTGGCGAATTATATAGGGCATTGTGGCTGATTGAATTAGGTATATTTATTGATTTCAGGGCACCCATAACTTGATAAGTTGAGTTACGATTCATGTCAATAGATAACGGATAAACTGACTAAACAATTATATAAACAAGGATGACTTATCTCATCGGTCGTGTTTTCTCAAGGCCTTTATGCATTCCAACAAATCCAGACTAACTACACGAGCTTGACCGAGGCAGCTACATCGAACAACATGACAGAACACAAACACGAACACGAATTAGGCCGCTGTTCAACTGTGACCTTGTTCTCGCCGTGCTATTTCAGACAAGAAGTACGACATTGACCAGGAGTCGCGCGGTCTCATCATTCGTGACGTCAGCCGCGAGGACTCTGGCAAGTACCGCTGCAAGGCCACCCACGTCAACAAGAAGGAGTCGGACCTGCGCGAGACAGACATCGAGCTGGTGGTTCAGTGTGAGTACACGACGAAGGAGGGGAGAGGGAGGGGGAGAGTGTTTAAGAGGTGGTGTGTTTTGTATACCGGTGGGATTGAGCCATGCTGGGGGGAGGGGGGTATCGATAGCGGTATTTACTGATTTGCTGTATAATGAACGGAGATTCACATGGGTATAGTGAAACAATCAGGCTTAGAGGCCGAATGACAGCTAATGGACTCTTTGTTTTTCGGTCATATCCTGTGCGATATTGCAAACGCCATGATTGCTGAAAATGATATTTGGTAGATTGCACTGTTTGGATTCTTTCATAAACGAAATTTCTTTTCGTGTTTTTTTTTTTTTGTGTGGTCGTTACTGCGGAACATCGATATCATCTGAGTCGAAAATCAACCACTCCATCTTGGAAAGCTCGTCCAGCTTTCATTTGACGGCGGCACACGTCATTTGTGGTTGGGGGCCTCTGGGCTGGGGATCGGCCGTCGACTATCGGCTGAAATACGGCCGACAGTTAGCGGCGGCCGCGGCTGTTGGGGCATCCGATGGGCGCCCGCTGCCGGCGCCGGGCTCCATTATGGCGGCGACATGGACCGCCGATAATGGGTCTGTCCCAACTCGGCTCCGGCTGCTCCGACACGGCTTCAGCGCAGTTCGGAGTGTCGCTCTACGGAGTGGATCAGATTGTCTGTGGGGTGTGAGCCGCGCTTTAGGTGTCTGCAAATGGACTTGCGTGGTGTGGAATTTGTCAGCGAGTTAGCTACCATTTGTTGGTATGTTGAACAAGGACAGATACGAAGAGGCAGTGAACGTAACCATGCTCGTAGAGTTTCAAGGAAAGCACGCCTTGATAAACGGAAACGTCTAAGAGCTCGTTTCCTAGTTGGTCGTCATTCGTGTCACATGGAGAGGCTTTTAAACTGCTTCCCCTAAGTTTGACCCACTCAATCTATGTAGTGGGGTCGCTCTATAGTCTTGAATACGGGGAAACAAGTTCCAAAGTCTTGAGCCGTCTGTCACATCGGATAACCACTCGCCGTGGGACGGTCTGTAATACTACTGTCACCAAACGATAGTTTCGGACTGATGGCTCGGTGATGGTACTGTCAGCAGACTGCACAGACTGCCGGTCCCAGACTGCCGACTGTGATCTCAGTTCGACATCTCCGTCCGCCGTCCAACGTCGACTTTCCGTCATGGAGCCAACGTCGTCACAGCTCGCTGGGCGCAGCCGCCGTTCCGAACGTCGGTCGTCGAGTCCCATAGTCTCATATTTCACAGCAGAATGTCTCCACCCCGCCGACATCAGCGCGTGGTGTGCTGGAAGGCTCGGGTTTCGGCAGATATTGTTTGGGTCTTGAGGATTTCAACGAGAATAAGTTCAGCACCGTCACTGCGTCAGTCTATATTGCTATAAATTGTTTGGAAAGGCTGAAACATCCCATGTTGAACTTCTTCTCGGTAAAGCACTCACGTCTCTCCAACAATCTTCCGGTCTCTTCAAAACGCCTCCCAGTCTCCGTGGGTCTTCGTATCTTCAGGAAATCTTGCCATCTCCCTAACAGGTTTCCCACGTTTCCTTGGTTGATCTTTTTGTCTCACCCTGTCTCGGTCTCTGTGTGTTTCCGTCTTTCCTGGATCTCTCCGCTTCCCCAAAAGTCTCTTCACGTCTCCTCATTCGAGCTGCCCTCATGCCCCCGCCATCTCTCTCATAAGCTGCTCTCGGCGCCGCTGAGACCATCGGTCGGCGACCTTTTCACCCCCATCTCAGCACAGTTGAGTGCCGCTCCGCCCAGGGTATATCGAGTGCCGTTCCACCCCGGCGCAATAAGGCCGAGTGCCACCTCGGCCTGTGGGGTGTTCCGGGAAGGCGGTCTGCAATCTGCGCCCTAGCCGTCGCCGGGAGCGGACTGTCGGGACGACACGGCGACACAACTGGTATTGATGGCGCCCCGCTCCTCCGGCAGAGTAATTAGTGACGTCATTAGTGACGTCATTAGACGCCCGGTGATAGATGTTCCCCTTTGAAATGGAGAATCGCTGCAATTAGTTCCTGTCGTGAATGCTTTTGTAATACAATGCAGTGGATTTCAGTTGTGATTTTCGCTGTTTGGCTTCATGTTTGAAGCGATGCATTATAAAATATGTGCGATACTCGTTCCAGTTGTCAAGGAGGTGCAGTTTTTCGGTGATAGTGGTATTGTATTCGGGTTCTGAGTCTGATAATGTCATGTCAGCTCGTTCTATCTGGGAAATTCAGTCCCGCTCGAGAGATATTCGATTTGGAGCCGACTCTCAATTGGCCGTCCGTCGTATTTTTCCCTTCAAAGTCGGAAGAATTGTGGTCTCCAAGAGCATTCGGCACGAATCGACCAGCGCTTTTTATGATAGGTCAGCTATTTGTCGAATGTCGCAAGAGACGGATTTTGACCAGCTAATAGACTCATGACGATGCCTATCACTTCTTTGAAAGCAGTTCATACTCAATAGGCAGATAGGTAACACAGGAGGAGGCAGATTTATCTCGCAGATTTAGTTTAGAAATTATGACCTACCATAACGGATCGAATTTTGTTTCGCCTTCCCAGCAATTATTTACCCAGACACATTTGCTTATGCAAGAGCCTAAATTACTAAGATGCGTCACCAAGGTTGGATATCCGAAGAGTCCCAAACCTCTGCGACAAATGCTGAGCTGAGTTACTCGGTGCCAGTTTGGCACGGCCCCGACGGTCCTGGCCCGATCGGCACACTCCTATCTCATTGGTATTCCGGCTATCAGCCGCCCATTTTAGACATGTGTTTGGGACGCCAGCCTTAAACTCACCGGCTGGCAAGGAGACGGGGTCAGCTCTCGGTTGTCATGCCAACAGGCGTCCCTTGAGCCAGCTGGCGCTGCGTGACCGGGATTTTCATCTGCAAGAATTTATCGTGATGCAGATAATGGTCTTGAATTTGAGATAACCTTGCCTTCTTGGGCCGAGGGCCCAGATGCCGTTTTAAAAGGCGACAAAGGTCAGGCGATGGCACATCGCTTCTAATTGTGGAATCGCCACTGAATTCATACGACATATTATATGAATATTTCGAGCTACGAATAGACCACCGAATAACTTGACCGTAGCTCTAAGCTCTCGGTTGCATGTTACTATATGTCTAAATTCTTCGGGTCGTAGATCGTTAGATGTGTTCGAGAAACTGTTTCGTTGTCCGATGACTGTCCAAATCTCTGCTGGGATGGAGCACATTCATCTCGTTGAAATTTTGCCAGCTAGCCAGGTAAAATCCCGATGGATGTACTTACCTACTTCTGGGCCCAGGATATCCAACATTTAGCCGAAAAGATCATCCTTTTATCGCTCGAATGACATCACGACTTCAAGTCGTTAGCTTCTGTTTTGTGGACGTTCCTGATTCTCAAAATTGTTTACAGCCCTTGCCCCTTCCGCGAAATTATATCGTTTTGCAGATGTGCCAATTACTGATGAATGATTTATTGCGATGATCGCAATGCGCAAAATAGAAACATCGCATGTCAATGTGTCATTTGCCTGCCAGGTATAGCCGGGATACCTAATGGCTTTCCCATAGTTCCCGAATGCCAGCCACGTTGCTTAGGCGGGCAAAGTCGATGGGAAGACTCCTGCACCATAAGGAACTGACCCATAGCTGCCCCGTGTAGCCATTTCTGTCACATATTTCGTATTATTCGATTGCTTTCGCCAGCTGCTACCGTTCATTTAGTCTGTGTTCGGCTCTATGTCGACATCTAAGTCGCAGTTGATTTGAAATGCCATCGCTGTGTGTACTGCAGGGAACACGACGTTGTGAACGGTGACCTTCACGTGATAGGGTACACAGAAGGCCGTCACGGACTCGATGGTCGGAATGCTGATGTCCCTTGGGACTGAAAGCTGTAACGCTATGTGGCGTGAACCAATTCCATCCAGATATTTATGTGCGCTGCACGGTCTGCTGCTGAAAAAAATTGCAGAGGCACACATACCGTTAAGATATGATATATTTGAGTTAAATCCAGTTGAATTTATTTGCTAATTATATAAACATATGTTATATTTAACTGTACATTGGTATATACTGCGTCTGCCGAACACTGGTGGACTGGATCGTTTCGATTTTATAGCTCGGTGCCCGGACGCGCGCCTCGTCTTCCTTTATCATTGGCACAGCTAGGACCAATGGCCGTAAAATCGCCGGGAGGATTACTGGGGACTGCAGTTTCACATGACTGACTCACAAGGCGTCAGAAGTAAATACTCGGTGAAAGCCGTGTCGTAAATAAGATATCTCCTTCCACTGTGACAACGAAAGCTAGGGGTGCTGTTGCACAAAAACCAATAGGACTGATGCAAATTGCCCGAGGCATTTTTTCGTCACTTATGTGCCTTTGGTCATCAGCCCTTAGTTCTTATGTTGTAATACGCCACCAACCGTCACAGAATTGATGCTACCAAAACGGTATAAGACGGCGGCAAATATAAATACTTCCACTGTGCTTTGGACCCGCGGCGTTATCTGCATACACTGATTCTGACAGCCGATCAGCGTGCTATTCTGTGTGTGTGTGTGTGTGTGTGTGTGTGTGTGTGTGTGTGTGTGTGTGTGTGTGTGTGTGTGTGTGTGTGTGTGTGTGTGTGTGTTTTTTGTCAAATGCTCTAATATGGAGCTGTGATGGGACGTACCTAATAACCGCACGTCTATTTGGGTCAATCCGAATGAGATCCAATCCGCCTAACGAACGAATCGGCAAATGTGACAATCATCAAAAGCTAGAGATGCACCAAAACCATTTCCCGCTTATCTCTCAATTCATGGATCAAAAGTCCGCTACACTCATTCTCAGGACAACGTGGAGTTGTACAAGTCTCAACTAAATAATCGCAGCATGGGTCCGTCCCGTCTTACCATGCCCTGACCGCCCCTCTCCCCTGTCGGCTGCTGCGGTGGATCGGTCCGTCCCACCGTGTTCCAACTTCCCCTCTCCCCGTTTATCCCCTACAGACAAGTCGCAGTGGGCCCGGCTCTGCCCCGTGACCTGACCTCCCCTCTATTTGTCCCACTACGCCCTGACCTCCCCTCTTCTTCCCCACAGACAAGCCGCAGTGGGTGGTCCTTGCCCTGTGACTTATCCTCTTCTCCCCCCTCCCCCACAGACAAGCCGCAGTGGGTGGTCCTTGCCCTGTGACTTATCCTCTTCTCCCCCTCCCCCACAGACAAGCCGCAGTGGGTGGTCCTTGCCCTGTGACTTATCCTCTTCTCCCCTCCCCCCCCCCCCCACAGACAACCCGCAGTGGGTCGGCTCTGCCCTGTGACCTGACCTCCCCCTCCCCCCCCCCACAGACAAGCCGCAGTGGGTCGGCCCACATCAGAGGGAGGTGTTCGGCTTCCTGGGCGGCAGCGCCAACCTCAGCTGTCGGGCCGATGCCGAGCCGTCCGCCTTCTTCACCTGGCTGCGAGACGGACAGCAGCTCGAACAGCAGGACCACTACCAGATCATCAGCGCCGAGAAGGACAGGAGCGTGCTACAGGTGAGATGGGAATTGATGGAGCAGTAGATGAGGTCGTCTGTTACCGAAGGCAGCTGGATGAGTAAGGATGGCGAAATCTGCCATTTCAAATCAAGTGCTGCTCGGACGCTGTGTTAAATATCACCTGTTTATTCGTTGTAAAAACTTAGGAGTCTAAACATTTGGCTACATAGGACTGCGCACGCTGGGGGCGATTCTGGCTAATGTCACTTCTCTCCATAGATGTCGCTAGTTGTAGGCGCCTGTAGCTATGCTGTGCCGCACAACACGAAATGGACATCGCAATTAAACGTTTGCTAAGCTATGTGTTTAGCCGCATATTTGCGTATATTCCGACCCGGTTGATGAACCGTGCTATATTTATTGCTGTTATTATTTTACAAAATCACAATACTTTCGGCTCAATAACCATTACGCCGAGTTATATTCATTGACCCGAGTGAGATCGCTGTGCGCCGGTCAGATCGGAGAGGTCAGGTCAGTCGGTGGCTGCGCGGGCGCGGCGGGAGGTCAGGTCGGCTGCCGGGCCGCGGGGTGGGGGTTCGTCTGGCGCCGGCATCTATTGACCGCTCCTCTCCGAGAAGGGGGGGGGGGGGTAGCGGCTCGCCGTTTTTTACCGCCAATCGGTCCGCTAGGCCGGGTGGTAGACACACTGAGTTTATTGAGGAGAGATAGAGCGGGATGCGGACCGGCGAACGGGCGTAGTTCGCGGCTGGTATCAGAGGTCGGGGGATTAGACAGAGGCCAAGAAATGCCGGCTAGACGGCGCCCCGGCCCCGAGCTGTGACGCGAACTTTTTCTCAGTGGATAACATCTAGATGATTAGTCGGGCTTGTCAATTATTGTTTTCTGTATTTCTTTTACGTTTACGAGTACTACGATTTGCTTTTTCATACAAAACCGTAATACCAATAGAATTTTAGAACAACGCTGTCGAATTGCAAAGTTCCTTTCGAGTGCAACAAAATGGAGCATGTTAAAAATACATTATATTGCCCACGTTCACGGCATGTCGGTTATCCTGGTGCTTGTATTCACCCGTGCTCGTTCGTCTGTGTTTCTCAGGTTAGCGGCCTTGACGACTCAATGTTCGGCAACTACACGTGTGAGGCCAGAAACAACTTCGGCTCGATCACGCACTCGATCGAGTTGAGAAAGGGCGAGAAGCCGGCCGTGCCGCAGGTAAGGACGGGATCGGATATATAATATCGGTGGTTCCACTTAGCGACCCAAGTCTGTTTTACGCTATTTGAAAAAAAAAAACAGCAGTAAATTGGAATATAAGTACAGCTCGCGATCCTTTCCAGAACTATCAGAAAACGGCCAACGAGCTGGCCACTAATGGGCGCCGTTCAGCTCACGGATGAAGTCAATCCCGGCATAGACGTCACCTCTGCATACATAGGTCTATGATCACGGATGTAAATTTATGTAGCTCTTTTTCGAACCTCTTGCCTCAACCAAAACCGTGTCGCGTGTATCCCATATCGCTATTTAGTGAACGGTCTCCAGTTCAGTTCAGTGACGCATCAGACGTGCGTCCAGAGATGTCCCCGCGGCACACTCACACCCCCTCCCCCCTGACAGGTGCGTGTGACCAAGACTGAGAGCACCCGGCTGACGCTGTCCATTGGCGTGCCGCCCGAGGAGAAGGTCGCTGATCGGTACCTAGCCGAGTACAAGACGGAGGACGCCGCCTGGACGACCGCCTCAGCCGTCGAGTTTCAGTCCAGTGAGTGGATATGGGGAAGGGGAGGGGAGGGACGAGATTTGGTAGTGTGTGAAAGGTCGACGGATTTATGTGATCGCTTACGGGGACATGGCACAAGGTGTGTGTAGTGTATCTTTAGGAGGATAAGAGCTTTGATGGGATATTCAATCCGTCCTCTCAGTTTGGTTACCGAGGAGAGGAATGAGTCTGTTTGGATATCTGGACTCGTCTCAGCGGTAACATCCGTCGTGAATGTTTTGAGATCTCTTTGATGGACGTGCTGCTTCTCCTATCGTAAAACACTTCAGCTAGGATTCTCAAACCATCACTGACGGTTTATCTACAACCGTGACCCGTTTCTAACACCTCCCTCCCTTTCCCCAGCCGGAACCCACGCCATCAACAATCTCCGACCGAACACGGAATATGTGATCCGAGTGGCGGCAGTGAACGAGGCCGGTCGGGGCGACTACAGCGCCGGTCTGCGGCAGAAGACGGCGGCGGCCGGCGCCGGCGGCGACCCCTCGGCGGCCGGCTCCCAGCCGGTGGTGCTCTCACTGCTAGTCTCCCTGCTGATGGCCGCGCTGCTCGTCTTATGAGCGCCGCCCTCCTGCTGGGCACTGTCCGATGCATTCCAGCGGCTGCGCCGGCGCGCGGCGGGCGCGGCGGCCGCGCGCACCACGGCCGCGCCCGCCGGCGACGCCACAGCCGCGCTGGTGGTCTGAGAACACGGCGGGCGGGCGGCGGAGAGAGAGAAACACCAAACGACAGAGCGAGGTGCGGCGACGGTGGCGCCGCCCGCGGGGAGAGGTGGAACTACTGAGTGAGAGGAGACCCGCGGCAGGTGCCGGGGTGGACAGCGAGCAGAACGGACTCGCGGAGCTGTGTGTGCGGAGAGAGAGTGGTGTGTCGTGCTGTTTGCGGATACGGCCCGCGACCCTGCCAGGTCACAGGACAGCCTCTCGTCTCGAGGTCACGACCTCGCCCGGTCAGTTATACGCTGGCCCCTGCGGGGTCATTCTTCTGCCGTGGCGGGCTGCGTTTCGTCTCGGTTGGTCTCGTCGGATAGCGCCGCGGTCGACAGTGAAGCGGTGCCGGCCGCGAGAAGTCACGTGAAATCAAACTTTCGGTCGGTGCTGCCGGCGCGATGGAAGGGAATAGGAGTTTCCCGGTTCGTTCTGTTCTCGGAGTGAAATGTTTCCCTGTATGACTCGCGAAGCGGCGCACGCGACTGTGCCGGCCGCCTGGTGTGTTGGTCGGTAGATGTGTGAGTCCTCGCCCCTCACTGTCCCGCTCGTGGTCAAACCGACGCCAGAGTCGGCTGTGTTGAATGTGCGCTATCGGCGAGGTCAAGTCGGGATGTTTTAGGTTAGTAGCGGGATCAGGGCATTAGAGTTCAGTGATGAGTTTACAGTCAGTGTGACTGGCGAGTGAGTGTCAGCGAGTGTGTCAGAGAATGTCAACCTTCAGAGGATATACCAAGCGTCACAGAGGCTACCTAATGTGTCGGAGGACTTCTTTTGTCACTACGGCCCATGACAGAAAACGTGTCACCTGTCAGAAGCTTGTGTGTCTGGTGTGTCAGTACGCTCAGTGTCGGGCTGTCAGAAGCGAGCAGCATTGACGTGCTGTGTCAGATCTGAGCACACGGAGCTTTCCCCACTCGGGAGTGAGGATCCTTCACGACTAGAACCGCTGTGTTCGACAACCGATGGCCCATTGTAATGACGCTAGTCGTGACTGAATACCAAAGGACAGTTCAGAGTTCAGGCCCACTGAGGGGCCGGACCAGGGCAGACTAGCCCGGCGGGCCGGGTCGGGTCAGCTCGCCCCAAAGACCTCCCCTACCGCAGTGGGTGAGACGGTACCCGTGAACAGCCCCCTGGCCGGTTAGAATAGAGGCCAGTGCGGCCCCAGCCTCTCAATCTACTCTAGATGGTGTTGAACGCGCTTCACAGTTATTGGTGTTAATTCCGCGGGGCGGATCGGCGCTCAGTGGTCGCTCGGGGGTCTCAGATCCACGGATATCCGCGGATAGATCCAGCATCTAGATTCGATCGCAGCGACTGAGAGGCTGAGCCGCCCCGCTAACATGTTATTACCTGTACAATAAACCCGTCTCGAAGGCCCGCTGTATTCTCTGGTCTCGTCCTCCAACAACATACCGTAGTACGAGGTACACATGTTTCAACACTGCTCTGACATTGCATCATATAGTGTCATACAAAAATAACCCTCCCAGTCACAACTCAGCCCTTGGACTCCCCAGCTTTTACCTTTTTCTTTTTCTTCTTTTTGGACATATCTACCAGTTTGGGCAGCTTTGGCTTCTTCGGTGACGCGTCTGCCACATCCTCCCCAGAAATCTTCAGCTTGGGCAGCTTTCGCTTCTTCTTTTTCTTCGTCTCCTCAGGAGGCACGTCCAGGAACTCCTCCACGATCTGTAGGTCGTCCTCCTCGTCCTCCAGCTCTGGACCTGTGGAAGCCGGTGCTGGCTGTACCGCAGCGTCCTCGACTTCGTCCTCTTCGGCGTCCTCGGGGTTCAGGCTGAAGTTGCGCCGCATCAGCACGCAGTTTAGGCGAGATTTCAGGTACACCTGGCGGGAAATGGCGAGAGTTAGAGCATAGCAAGCGGGAAATAGCGCGACTTCAGGTAGATATGGCGGGAAATGGCGTTAGTCAGGCTGCACACCTGACGGAAAATAGCAGTTTTACGCACAGCTAACGAAAATGACGCGATTTCATATAAATCGGCCATAAAAAGCGCAGGTTCAGATGCACAAAACGCTGAAATCGCAACCACAGGTACCGTAGAAACCGTGGGTGATGAAAAATGGCAGTCAAGTGTGTTTGATAGTTCAAACTCAAACAATGCAAACAGCTGCGGCAAACCTTCGAGCCAATCCGAACCAATATCATTAGGAATTAGGATAATAGCCAATTAAATCCGCATTTGAAACCACACGCTGCCCACGGCCCTTACCTTGTGTAGTAGTTTCTTGGTGTCGAGGTCGTGCAGCAGCAGGAACCTGTCGAGTGACACGCTGGCAGCGTACGACCTCTCCGGGTGACAGTAGACCTCCCGTACCCCGCCGGCCACGCCCTTCAGCGCCAGCACCGTCCGGCCCATACGGATGTCACAGAGCTCCAGCCGGCCGCGGCCGCTGCCTACCAGCACCTGATGAGACGCACAGAGGCCATATAGGCCGGAAGGAGGGTCAAAAGGGTGAGCGGGGAAGGAGGTCCAGCATCTGAAGGATGGTACACATTTACGGTGATCAGAGAGGGCTCAAACCAGGGCCGGCTTCGGAGTTCGAAACGAAGTGTATCGGTTAGAAGCCCAAGTGCCCCCCGTCAGGGAACCGCTGCAGCCCTCCATATGGGAGCCCTGCATTCTACAATTCCTCTTAAAGAGCTCCAGTACTTTCCGACTAATGAGCTGATGACGGGACGAAACTCACCTGGTGGTCTCGGTGGGTCCTGGACAGACAGTTGAGAACCCCCCCCCCCCCCGTCACAGAGATGACGCGAGTGAACCCACCTGGTGGTCTCGGTGGGTCCGGGACAGACAGGTGAGCGGCTCGTCCTCCCCCACAGTCACAGACATCACCGGCCGCCGCTGGCCGCTCGCTGTGTCGTACAGACGAACCTGGTGTGACACACGGGGAGAGAAGGGTTAGTTGGTTACGTAAATAGCGAGAACGAGACGCGCTAGCGCTATTTAAAGTGATGAAAACGACAATGATAACCGTATGAAAACGCATCAATATCATCGGTACGACAATGATACCAATGAAAATGGCAAGTGATAGCGTAAACCTACGGCTCATAGTGACAGCCGGTCGTTCAGCGCTAGATGCCGATCCCGTCAGTCTGCAGTCACACATGGCATCACGAGACAGCAGCTGATTTAGCCAGCCGATCAGCCGGTCCACTCACCACCGAGTGTCTATGGCAGGTGGCCACGCGCCGGGCATCCTCCAGGAAGGTGATGTCGGACACCCATACCGGCACCCGCAGGTCCAGCATGTCCGGACGTACCTGACGAGGTCATAGTGAGGTCAAACAGGGGACGCCGTCAGACTCCGCTCAGCGAAATCAGGTGCTATCGGGATTTTAGTACGGCGTTCAGGATATTATGAAGTGCACTTACGCTTAAAATATCTGCTGTCAGGTTATTATGCATAAATATTGATACGATACATTTCGATATCGATTGTTACTTTAGGTTACTATGCATGAATAATGACACGATACATTTCGACTAACTTATACTTCGACTAACATTCCAAATTAAGACATAAAACAAGGTAGGTAACTCATCAGCGATCGATAACTCGCAATATTAGGCCGCTCTCGAGCCTCCGGCTCCGACTATCACGTCTACCCCAGACTCACATTTTTGGCCCTGAAGACGGGATGCTCGGGCCGCGCCAGGTCCCAGAGCTGCAGGTCGTTCTCCTGACCGCCTGTGGCGAGCACCGCCGAGTCGGCGGGGCTCTGCCGCATCCGACACAGCTTCTCCCCGGTGGTGAGTGCGTTCACGGAGACCCGCTCCGACTCGGCGTACCGCCACAGGGTGACAATACCGGACTCGACGGCCGTGATCACCGCGCTGGATGGCGATAAACAGGGGAGGGAGGTCAGAAGACTGGTGGAAGGGGTTGTAAGAAAGTAATGGAGTGTGTGGGAAGCCAGTGGGGTAGATTATTGAGAAGTGTGTAGAAGACACATTCAACAATCTGGTGAACACTGAACAATGACTGCAATGTCATCAATGACAAAGTAGCATGCTTTTCACAATCTAAGCCATCACTTATTAAAACTGGTTACCTCTTTTATTAGGTCTAAATATGATCCAATAAAACATCAACAATACTAAAACCCCTAGGTACTGACTGAGACCACATTGCAACGGCTTTTATATAAATGGCTCATCCACTTCCTAAGCTGAATTCTTTACACATTTGTTTTGATAAACCATCCTGCATTCTAGTTTCCACATCTAATATCCAGCAAACAACATTAACACTGCGCAGTGCACAGCTCACATCTGTCTATTTCTGTCTCTGCCCACCAGTCCCATTCATGTCTTAAGTTTTACTTCATCCTGGTGGCGAAAACTCACCCCTGATGTTTGGCCAGTCCGATGACTGGCCCAGAGCCGGAGCTGAGCTGCCGTGACATGGTGAACGTGCCCTGAACAGTGTCATACACCTTGACTTGCTGTGAGCGCAGGCCGAGCAGCACCTGCCGCTGCTCGTCATCACCCCAGCACATGCTGCAGATTTCATTCTCCCGCTCTAGTGCTGTCAAATTGTGGAAGTTGCTCGTCTGCACCTCGCCCTCAGTGACATTAATTCCTGACAAATAAATGGCAATTGTTAGTTGACACAGCCAAGATAAACAGGCATGCATTGCATCCTAGCACAAAACACCTGTATATGTCATGCTGTTTTAACATCAGACTGTACACATCCTGCCCAATATGATGTAATAGATGAATTAAATACCACAAATGATGTGCTGTTTTGAAGCACTTAAGCTGTGAAGACATAAAATGCCAAATTGCAATAATGCCACAATATATTCATATTAACTTAAGACCAGCTTATTGAGCATAACCATATGAACATAATCCTTCAGTACCTTTAAGTACACCAGTCTCCGCCCCGACATATACGTTATGACAGTGTCGAGGCATGGCTGCTACTGGGGGCTGCCATGTTGCTTTTTGTTTACGTTTTCCAGATTTAGCTCTAGTATGTTTTCTAGTGGAAAAAGTATGCTGTTTTTTGTAATGAATAAACCACCACATTTTTTTTCAATGATTTTCATTGATTACTGATTAGAGTACCAAAACTCCAATAAGATTCGAAAATAGTCAGGTAAATTGTCTTTGATAAAGCCGATTGAACTTCATTTTTGGTGTTTTTTTATTCGAACTTTTTCAAATCAAAGCCCTTTGGTATGTTAGCAAGTTGTTTTTCTTTTTGTTTTTGGATTTTACTGACTATATGAAAAATATTTTACGCCTTTGATTTCACATTTCACCAAGATACTTACAAGAAAGTGTTTCTAAAATAAAGCTGCATTTTCTACTGAATATTTGATTAACATACTAGAACTGGCAAATCCTCAGATTGCGCGCGGCAGAGGTGGTGTGTCTGTGATTGAATTATTGAAATTTGAAGGTATTTTGCGTAGTAAATGCGCTCTCGATGTAACAGAGTGATACGTTTATCGATGGTGTTCGAATTTATTATCCGGTACTAGCTGCAACCATCCTGTCTGATTCAAGAAGGTGGTGTTTCTTTTATTGCCAAATGTCTTTGCTGCGCTGTAGTTGTATGCTAGTTTGATTATGCAACACTTTAACGTCTGCTCGCTCTTGAATTGTATATTAGACAAGCATTCATACAGTTGGTGGTGTCGTATCTTTGAAACTTCTTTCATTTAATTTTTCCCTCTCTGGATAAGGTTTGGGTTCACTTAACGTTACAGCAGTACGAGGGTATCGTGTAAGCATGTCTCGGTGGTGTTTGCAATATTTACCTTACCTAGCCTTTCCTTATTGCTTAATGCTTACACTATCAGGAATTTATAAAGGCACATGCTTGTAGGCTTCACTCCCATCTAACTTGTGAATGGTGGTCACTGGTCACCTTATACATTACATGATTCATGATCTTTTTGCATTATTTCAGTCTGTTAGACCTGAATTGGCAATTCTCAATTTTTAGTTTAGTTCATTCTTTAAAATTCATCCAATGCATGTTAGTTATGTACAGTTCACTGATGGACTATGCAGCAACATCCAATGGCGTTCATATTTTGAGTAATTGTAAATTAAATTTGTTCTTCTTTGCATGTACCTACCTAATTTGCATTTGCATTTTATTGATGTGTTTATTGATGATGAAAATGATGAATGTAAGATATTTATGATACAAGATAGACAAGAAGAAAAGTGCACAGTAATAGTATTCATTTTAATTCCTTTGTACCTACCAAGCAATATACCTAGTCTAGAGAATACCTATATCACATATCAGCAAATTATAATGTTTTCATGGATGATTCTCCATTTATTTTTTATATCTGCTTGACATCAAGATTTTTTTTTCAGTCCACATGACAATAACACATGTATCTGTAATTGTATGCATATAGTGAACATTACACTTACCTATGATTGCTTTTAGAACTGGGATGCAATCTTTTCTCTGATCATATGATAAATCTACCTTGTTGAAAAAAATTATTGTTATATTAAGCACCCCCAATTAGTATCTCTGATGTTGTGAACTACTTTGTACCAATGTATGCATTTAATTATATTTTACCATGCTTCAAGTTATTATCATTGCATGTTAACCATGATGTATTCTTTCAGGTGACGTGACAATGCCTCTTTTGAATAAGCAGCCATTTTCAAAAAGTAAGCCTCCACCAGACTTGAGGCCTGATGAGGAGGTTTTCTTCTGTGAGCCAACCAAAGAAGTGTTCAGGGATTATGAGTAAGTACTAAGTATTGAATGGTTTGCTGACAGTGAAATAAAATGGAGATGACTGATGATGCTAAGCTGAAGCAGGCGAAGCATTAATTTTAACTTTGAAATAACCAGCAAAAAATTAATGCTCATTATTTATTTTTCAATGTCAGACATTGTACAAGCAGTTTTTAACTTCTTATGGTGAAGACCCAGTTTTCTGAAAAGTGTAGCAATTAGAAACTGCCATGTCCTTTCATATCTTTTCTAATCACTAAGCTATTGTAGAACTACCACTTACTCCAAGCTTTTGAACACCTTCAAAAGCACCTTAGGCCTGTTTCAATGATGAGGTACTTCTGGGCATTGGCCTGACATTTTTGAAGTTTCTTAATTCTTTTGCTGATCTGTGACTTGAAGAAATACTAGCACTTCTAAAGTTACTGTGAAGACAACAGAATACCTTGATGGTTTATTTCAATGTTAGTGTTGACCACTCACCTCGCCCCCTGTTTCAGTAAATTCTTTGAGCGTATGATTCTGTGCAACTCTCTGTTGTGGTCGTGCGAGATGACTGGCAAGTCGGGCCTGACCTACCAGGAGGCCGCCGACTCGGAGAGGGACGCGCGCAGGTCGCTCAGTGCCGTCTCAAAGGAGGTGAGTGTCCTTAAAGCTCCCCGGATATACCGTATATCTCCGGGATATGTCATTGATCGCCAATATATTCCTTAAACGTCGGGACCTACCGTTCATCGCCAGTATATTCCGTTTATCGCCGGGACATGCCGTTCATCGCCGGGATATGGTTACCGTTTATCGCTGGGACATACCACTTATCTCCGGAACATACCGTTTATCGTAGTAAGATGCTATGTATCGCTGGGATATACCATTTGTTGCTAGGATATACCGTTTATCGCGGGGATATTCCGTTTAGTGAGCCGCAGGGATGCTGCACCGTTTATCGCCAAGATATGCCAGCAAACGTCGCTAAACGTCACATTTTTCTGTTCGCAGCTGAAACGGGCAATTCTTTACATCTGTACTTTGACAAAGAAGACGAACTTCGGTGAACTCTATGGTGACATATTTGCGTATGTGAAGGATCGCTACTTTAGAGGGGAAGCGGTCCTGGCAAAAAGAGGCTCCCAATGGTAAGTGATCCTCTGTTTTAGCATTTACTGATTCTGATGAAATATGCTGTTATTAGCTACACCACATCCACAGCCTCAACTGTCGATATATTCGCGCAAGATAACAGTCAAATGTTTGAGTCATTGTCTATGAGTACATCACCTCTGAATTGTTTGTCTCATTTGCAGGGTGGACTGCGTGATACAGAGTGTCGTTATTGCGGCCGATCCCGAACTGAGCTGCAGTATCAACGGACACACCAGCCAGTAAGTCGAGTTTTTTGGGACAGTGGGTGCATTATTCAGGACCGCTAGGTGTCGGTCGGCGGAGCAACCGTCTACATTCAGGAACACTGAGCTTGAGAACACAGGAGATGGTGTTATCATTTGTCATTTTCTGGCCAACAACATTAAATTGGGCGCATCTTATCACTAATCACCACCCTGCTAGGTAATCAGTCTTGTTCATGGGTTGCAGTATCCAGTAGGATGTTTTGTAGCAAATAATGACGATATTATTTGCTTCGGTCTCTACGGTGTTTCCGGAGATGCTTTAAGTTACATGTGTCTTTGTGCGCCCCTCTGCAGAGCGGGTGGCCCGGCGGAGAAGCGCCCGTCCAGCCGTCTGCCCTCGGAGGGTATCTCCGCGCCGCGGGCGCTCTACCACGTGCTCCAGCCGGCCACCGGCCGACTGTTTGCCGTCCGGCACACAGACCTCCGACGAGACAAGGCCCTTTTCTCGCGCGAGCGGCTGCGCGTGCTGCTCAAACACTCGACCCGCGCGGACGACTCTGGGTTTCTGGTGGTGCGCGCTCCGGCGGCGCGGGGTCTGGACCTGGATAAGGTGCAGTTTGGTGACCTGTTTGTGGGTGCTCCGCCCCGGTTTGCCGCCAATAAGCCCGTGCAGAAACAGAAGCCTGCGACGGAGACGCGGCCGCAACAGGAGAGCAAGCCCGTCCGACCCAAAACCGAAATGGTGTTCGATGAAAAGTGAGTTGTTCGGCGAAACTGGGTTCCTCGTTGTTTGTATGCAAGTATATTTCCTGAGGCTGCATTTATCATTTTAATTATGACAATTAAAAGTCGTAAATTGGATTAATCTACGTTCCACGTGGATATAATCGTTAGATCTGCGCCCCGTGCCGTCTGTCCCATTGTTTCCGTACCGGTAGGCAGGTGCTTCCTCCGTCCGATTACGTCACATTGCGCAACTGAGGGGTTCGTTGACCGGTCTGATAAACCGGTCTAGCCGAGACGCTGCGTGCACTGGTCGGTTCAGCCGCTCGGCTTATTTATAAGATCGATTTGTAACCTCTCATTCATTATGTGTGGAATCCTCTACTCTGTGTTGTCTCAAGATTTCAATCTATAGCTTTACTAGCTTGTGTTCGCGATCGCCGATCCCTGGATCGGCGATCGCGGCGATCCCTGGTTAATGGCCCGTGACCTATTAACCGTAGCCCTAACCACGGTCGCCCTAACGATTAATTGGTGACCCATGACCTCTGACCTATAACCGGTGACCTCTACCCTGTACGTTGATCTCTACCCTGTGACCTGTGACCTGACCTCTAACCGTTGGCCCTGCCCTTCGTCAGTGACGACGAGCCGCTGTCGTCTGTTCAGCTGGAGATTCGACAGCGCTGGGAGGCCGAGCGGCGCCGGCTGGTCGAGCTCAAAGTCCAGGAGCGCGACAGAAAGCGGCACAGACGTAAACTGGTCACAGAGTGGCTCAAGGACTGGACACGGCCCCGGGAGGACCTGCTCTGCGAGGACCACCAGGTCAGGATTCAAGCCGGGCGGCGGGCTGAGGAGTAAGGGTGTGGGGAGGAGTGAGGTTGGTTGAGACTTGGCTTGTATGAGATATGTCCAGAGTTGTAAACTGTGACGTCTTGTTTGACAAAACGTTGAAGTAGTTGATTCTTTTTTCTGAGTCTAGTATGTGGCAACAGATTTTCACTGTTCTCGAAGAAAAATGAACAGTTATTAGTTAATTGGTTATGACATAGGTCACCTTTTTATTCGAAATGCCGCGGCGGTGGTTCCAAACTATTGATTGTGCCAGCACGGCGCTCTGACACCCAGCTGACCCCAGACAACCGCTGACTTACCTCCCCTCCACCTTCCCCCTCCCCTCCCCTCAGGAGCTGCCGGTGATGCAGCCGGTCCACACGCGCGTGCCGGCGCAGCTGTTTGGCGGCTGCCTGCAGCTGCTGGAGTTTGTGTCCGGCTTCAGCCCGCTGCTGGACCTCAGCGACACGTTCCCGCTGGGGGTGACGCTCTCTGTTGTGGAGAGGGCGCTCTGTGATGGAGAGGTGGCCGGAGCGCTCAGCGACCTACTGCAGGTGAGTGTCGGAAGAGGGTGGATTTGAGAGACGTCACTCAGTGGAACAGCGTTGGAAATGGCTGCCGAGTGCAGGTTTTGTGCTGAATTCGGAAGCTCAAAGCTATGTGGCCGGATTTTATCGTTTATATTGTTTGATATTTGTATGTGTGTGTCTGTGTGGCAACAGCACAGAAACATAAGCAAACAAACAGCATCAGTTTACTGATAACCCTCACTCCCCAGTTTAGAATAGCTCTGACGAATAAGTTGACTTCTCTCGTTGTAATTAACTCCTCTACCTCTCCCTAATTATAGGCTCTCCTCCTGTGCGTGTTTCAGGGGATCATAGAGGGGGTGTATGTTGTACTAACTCCTCTCCCCTCTCCCTCCCAGGTCCTTCTGCGAGCGGTGTTCGAGTTACAGCGTGAGGAGGACGAGGAGTCGGGCGGCCACAGCGCCGCCGGGTCGGCCGCCGCCGCCGCCGACCACCTTGACCCGCTGACACTGACCGAGGTGCTGCGGCGACACCTGGCCGCCAGAGACGTCGCCGATGAGTCCAGGTGAGGGAGGGAGGGTTGGAATAGGGAGAGAGAGGGGGACGGAGACACCTGGCCGCCAGGTTCGTCGCCGACGAATCTAGGTGAGGGAGGGAGGGGAGAGACGCAGACACCTGGCCGCCAGAGACGTCGCTGATGAGTCCAGGTAAAGGAGGGAAGAAGGGAGGTTGGATAGTGACCGAGGTGCTGCGGCGACACCGGGCCGCCAGGGATGCCGCTGATGAGTCCAGGTAAAGATGGGGAGGGGAATGATGAAAAGGAAGGAAATGCCCAATAAGATGACCTAGTCCTGTGGTATGGTAGTAGAGGACGTAGTGGAACTATTGTATTATTAGATTTCTACTTTGTACCTGAATATAGTTTGTAATATCCCTGTAACACCATCGATTGCCAAAGAGTGCGTTTCTCTGAGATGACCCCGTCAGCCGCCCTGGCTCCCCCTCCAGCCTGACTTACGTTCCTTTATGACCTCGTTCTGCAGGTGGCGATACCAGCAGCGTGGCGGATACACGGAGTCGGACAACCCGACCGTTCAGTTCCGGCTGGACCACCCGGATATCATGCAGAAACTCAACACAGAGTCGGTGTATGACCTCACACCCGGTGAGTGACAGAGGGGGAAAGGAACTAGGATACAGGGATACACAGGGAGTGTGGCGGAGATGAAGAAACGAGGGTATGGAACGGAGGGATGATAACGTCTATACTCAATCAGATATTTTGCTGCATATGTCCCAGGCCTTAGCTCAGTTTTTTTTTCTTATTTACGCAGGTAAATCCTTATTCTGGATCATAATAGCTCCATAATTCTGCCTACCTTTTCCAGAACATTTAGGCAGTGGCCTGACCTAGGTTATTTGATGGCCCCGCTGACCTCTTGGCTGACCTCTGATGTGACCTGACCCCCTCTCAGGTGAGCGTCTGGCGGTGCTGGAGTGTCTGGTCGGCGAGATCCTGACCACGGTCACCGCTCGCGACATGATCGACGACGCCGAGGCCAAGCTGAAGGAACTCAAACAGCAGCTGAGGGTCCTCCGGATCAACACGCAGGCCTTCCAGCGCGGAGTGCACGCCGAAAAGTGAGTGAGCGGGACGGCCGGGAGGGGGCGGGGGAGGCGGTGGACGAAATCAGTTTATGCTTTTTATGTGCATCCTATAAATTCGGTAGCGAACAACCTTGAAAGTTCTGTACAGCTCATGTGACTTTTGATGCCGCTGTCACCAAAGTATTGGTCCTCTGAGCGCAGTTTGACATTTGCGGGACATATGTATGTACTGTTTGCCCCTGAGCTGTGTGTCGAACCGCCCTCCGTTCCGTTCCAGGGTTACTGAGCGCCGGGAGGACCGCCAGCGGCAGCAGCAGCAGGAGCAGCAGCGGGCCGCCGCCGACACCTCTGCCGACCCGGCCACCGACGGTGACACGTCAGCCGACCCGGCGCCCGGTGCCGCGGTCCCTGAGCCCCTCACAGAGGAGGAGCGCGCCCGGCGGCGGCGCGACCAAGAGCGCCAGCTGGTAGAGTTCGGCAAAAAAGAGACGCGTCTCCAGGAGCAGATCGCCGAGCTGAGCCGTCAGTTCTCCCTGACGCCGCTGGGCCGGGACCGCGCCTACCGCCGGTACTGGGCCGGTCGGGCGCTGCCCGGGCTGTATGTGGAACATGATGATGATACGGTGGGGGTGTGTCTGCCGAACGCCACGCCGCATAACCGGCAGCTGAGCGCGGCGGGTGGCGACCAGCAGGCGGTGCTCCGCCGGCTGCTGACAGACCGGCTCATGAGCCGCGCTGGCGAGCAGCCGACCGCCTCCTCTGCGGCTAGTACGACCACCACAGGCAGTCCCAGCGACAAGGAGAACACTCCTGCGCCGGTACCTCCGCCAAAAACATACACCAAGAAACCGGCGACTCTGACGGAGCAGAACCAGCCGAGCGGCGGCGCGGAGGCGGGCGCCGCGCCGGCAGATCTGGAGGCCAAGACGCGTCTGGACGAGCTGGTGTCGGGAGAGCTGGACCTGGCCGCCGAACTGCGGGCGGTGCCGGCGGCTGACAGCCAGCCGCCCGACCGCCGGCTGCTCGTCTGTACCGGGCAGCAGGACGAGTGTCCCGTCCACTCGGCCATCCTGCCGAGGACGTCCTGGAGCTTCTGTCCGGACCTGGAGCACCTGGAGCAGCTGCTTTCCACTCTGAACGAGCGCGGAGTTCGGGAGGCGGAACTGAAGGCGGCCATACAACAGGTGAGGCAGTGTGGGAAACTGGACGCTCTAAATGGGCTGAGCGCTGCGAGAATCGTGTGGCTGCAAGTAAAATATCTGGTAGTCTGGTACCTATTTAAAAAGTTGGGTTGATTTTGTGTCTTGCTTTTTTGTGGCAAGTTGACAGGTATACAAATGAAAGAGGCAAAAACATTTTTGCATTTTTGCTTTTGGATCGCGGCAATCTTATTCCTTTCTTCATACACCCTATCTGAGGCGTCTCTTGTGTGTCTTGTAGCTAATCTACATTCCATTTTGTCTGGCAGGCGGGTGACAGTTTGCGTCGCGGCATCGAGAAGTGCCCCAAGAACGAGCTGATCCCGGGTGCGGACCGGCGGCCGCGGCGTGAGCCGACATCTAGCGGTCGAGATCCGAACTATAACTTCCCGACTGGCACGCCGGTGGCGGAGATTCAGGAGCTCCTGCTGAGGGATATGATACTCGAGTGCGAGGAGAAGATCCGGTTCGGCTGTCTGGGCACCGTACAGGTACGAGTCGTCGTCGCTGTTCCCTCTGGTCTCCCTCAGGGATGTTGAGTCAGAGTTTAGATGGGTTTCTATTGGGTGCGGAAGCCGGGGTCAAATCCGCCACCTCACCGTTGTCCTGTCTTGATAGACGTCCGCCCTTGTCAAGGTCTCTGTTGCGGTCTTCCTGTTTGACTGTCTCAGTTAATCGCTGAGGAGGAGCGTGGTGATCAATCATTTTACATTAACATTCAACCTTACACGCTTAGTAATGCCCATATGTCTGGTGCGTGCTTCTACCGAATTAGCGTTGGATGTGAACCGTGTGTTTTCTACAGGTGTCGGACCTGGCCCAGTGGCGTCAGGCTCTGGTGGAACGATCCTATGACCAGCAGTGTGACAGACTGACCTGGGGTTAATGTTTTATATCCTCAGGTGTCGGACCTGGCTCAGTGGCGTCAGGCTCTGGTGGAACGATCCTATGACCAGCAGTGTGACAGACTGACCTGGGGTTAATGTTTTATATCCTCAGGTGTCGGACCTGGCCCAGTGGCGTCAGGCTCTGGTGGAACGATCATATGACCAGCAGTGTGACAGACTGACCTGGGGTTAATGTTTTATATCCTCAGGTGTCGGACCTGGCTCAGTGGCGTCAGGCTCTGGTGGAACGATCATATGACCAGCAGTGTGACAGACTGACCTGGGGTTAATGTTTTATATCCTCAGGTGTCGGACCTGGCCCAGTGGCGTCAGGCACTGGTGGAACGATCATATGACCAGCAGTGTGACAGACTGACCTGGGGTTAATGTTTTATATCCTCAGGTGTCGGACCTGGCTCAGTGGCGTCAGGCTCTGGTGGAACGATCCTATGACCAGCAGTGTGACAAGCTCACCTGGGGAGCCGAGGGCGCCGGATCAGTGGATAACGTGAGTAAACGACCGGTGCTTGTGGCCTGATGATTTTGGTCTCCGCTACTGTAAAATGTTCTGCTGGTGTAGTAAAGCAATGGTGACATTTTGCGCTTATCAGGGTCATGTTTCAATGCTCCCTCGTATCCTTTCCTTAACTTATGCCAACTCTCCTGCCCCTCCCTCTTTTGCCATACTGTGTTGATGCATCAGACACCCTCACCCTCTCTCTTTTTCTCTTTACCCACAGAGTGTGGACGTGTCTGGCACGAGCACCCCGCTCTCTGACCGCGAGGCGGCGCCGGTGGCCGCCGAGCTGGCGACCCGGCTCCAGCGGCGACACCTGGTCCGATCACTGGCCTCAGCTGTGCTGCAGCTTGAGCAGGGCATCGACAAAAAGTACCTGCAGAGTCCACTGGGTGAGTGCGGTGGGTGAAATTCATAGTAGATCGGTGAGGGAGGGAGACAGAAGGTAGCTAGCTGCGACAGAAGGTAGCTAGCTACCTGCAGAATCCACTGGGTGAGTGATGTGGGCGGGTGGGTGGTGGTACGTGCCGCTTCGGTGAGGGGCTGGGCGTTTGTTTTTGGTTAGAGAGGGCTTAGAGATGTCTTAATTTCTTGTAAGGGATGGATAAGAATTTGGGCTAAGAAAGCAGGGGAAGTCCCGAGAAGCTGTTCAAAGAACTTGCCGCCATTAAGTTAGTGGAGAGGCAGTAGTTGGTTTGGGGAGACTAGGCCGGGAGTTGTTTATCGGCCGCTGTGGAGTTGAAGTTTTTCCGTGAACTATGGCTGCTAGGAGGCTAAGTGGATGAAGTTCAGTAAGTTTTGGGTGAACTTGAGCCCAGCTGCATACGAATTCAGTTTTATCTGGCCTTTCCGGAGTTTTATCTGGTTTGTGTCCGGAATTTAGACGAGCTGATGTTTAAACCGTGTTTGCTTGCTCAAGATTTACGCCTTATCTTCGCTGTGGCATACGCGGTTGAAGATAATGGATTGTGCTTGGCTTTATTTTCCTCTGCCTCCCTGGCCAACATTCTTGACTTTTGGCTCGCCCCTGACTCACCCCTGACTCACCCTCTGACTCGCTCTCTCCCCACAGGTGCGTCGGAGAAGGCTCGCCGCGTCTGGGAGAGCTCGCTGATGGCGAGCACCTCGCTCTCCCAACTGTTCGTCCATTTCGCGCAGCTCGAGTCCTCCGTTCAGTGGTCGCGCTCCGCACTCAACGCGCGCTGCAAACTCTGCAGAAAGCGCTCCGACCCGGAGAAAATGCTGCTCTGCGACGGCTGTGACAAAGGCTTCCACATGTTCTGCCTCACGCCGAAAATGAAGGTGAGGGTCGTTAGACTTTTATGCTGGAGCTAAGTTCAAATGAGCTGAGTATATGTTTCCTGAGTGGGTCGTTTGTTGAATTATGTGCCTAAAAATTTCGGCCCAGGCATAAACCACATGCATCATCTCACAAATCAAATATAGAATGTTGAGGCGATAATTTTATTGTACGTACCCGGAAGAAACGTTTTTTCCTAAATGTTGAATTATATATCGCGCCTCATAAGCATTGACATAAAATGGATGCATAATCTTGGCTCGCCCTACCTAACCCTTCCGTCCTCTCCCCCAGAGTATACCGAAGGGCGACTGGTACTGCTCCAGCTGTCGGCCCAAGGAGAAGCCCAAGAGCCCAAAGAAGAAACGGCGCGCCTTCGTCGCCGAGGACCCCGAGTCCGAGGACGAGGAACAGGAGGACGAGGAGGAGCCTGAGGAGGCTGCTGAGGAGGAGGAAGCCGAGGAGGAGCCTCCGCAGGCGTCCTCCAAACGCTCCTCCCGCGGAGGAACCAAACGCTCCAGCGGCGGCTCGACCAAGAAGGCGGCGCCTGCCTCCCGGCGGACGCGCGAAGCGTCCCCACCGGCTCCCGCCAAAAAGCGTCGCGCCGGCTCTGACGCGCACGCCGCCGATCGGCTCGACAAGGCGGTGCTGAATGGTCTGCTGGACGAACTACGCAAACAGCCGGCGGCCGAGTACTTCCTGAAACCGGTGCGGGGGAAGGACGCGCCCGGCTACTATCAGATCGTGCGCCAGCCGATGGATCTGACCACCATGCAGAAGAAGATTAACAGCGGCGCGTACGGCAGTGCCGCGGAGTTCACGGCCGACGCGGGACTCATCTTCTCCAACTGCCTCATGTACAACGACACCAATGCGCCGATTTCACGGTGAGTTATGGGTGCTGGATGAGGCTGGTTTATTCGTCTGCGCATTTGTCTTGGTAGTGGTTGGATTTTAGAGCGAACTTTTCACTGTCGCAACATGCCGAGCGAAGGTAACGTTTAAGAAGTTGCCGGATACTTGTTTTTAGATTTTGCAACGTTTCTTTGTAATTCCATTGTTGTGACTTTTTCTTCCGTGCACTACCAAACTATTGAACAAGTGTAAAACGCATGACGTCGAGAAGTTTAAATCACCGCGATCTTATGTGCTGCTGTAATTCCCGTCCCTCTTCACAGCCATCTGATTGCCCCATCCTGCTCTCCCGCAGGGACTGCCTGAAGCTGCGCCGGTTCTTTGAGAAGCGCTCCAAGGAGCTCGGCCTGTCGGGTGGCCCGGCGGGGAAGCGGGCCCGCCGCTCGCACTGACACTAGGACATATTAAGGTGGACGGTAGTCATCCAAACAACTCATCCAGTCATCTGAGTCATCGTGTTTCATCTAGAGTCATCCGAGTCGGCGCGGAACGGCCCGGTCGCCGGCGGAGACCGCGGTAGGACCCGAGTGGCGTGATTCAGATCAGGTCAGACGCAAAGCGGTGGAGACTCGTGGAACGGGTGGGGGGCCCCGGGCCGTGTCAGATCCCGTGGCGCCTCCCCGGCAGATGTTGAGCCTGAGTCAGAGCCTGAGTTTGAGCCTCGTGGCGGACGTGCCGTGTGACATTGGTCTGCTGGTTATCGGAGCCGTGGTGTAGTGGGAAGAATTGAGTCAGCTCAAAGGAATTAGGAGGAAAGTTGAGATGGTTTCATTTGTCCTGGCGAGTACCGGGTGAGGTTTCAGCCGAGATTATGACGCACAGATCAACCAGCTTTGTAAAGTGTTCACGCGATTTTATTTTGAAAATCACGTTCTGGGTCTGTTGGCTGTTGTGTGTAAAGGTTTCATAGGGAGTTTGCTCATTTCACAATAATCATAGCTTAGCATCATTTTTGTCGGCGTCAGCTCTGTGGCTTTTTGTTATCGGCTGAGGCTCGTTCTCAGAGCTGGCGAGCACAGTCACGGAGTGGCTTTAGTTGGCGAGCACATGCAGTTTGGTCTGAGAACTATGCGACGTTAGGAAAGGGGCTGAGGTGAGCTCTGCTAGATGGAGAATGAACTAGACCGATACAACAGGGAGCGGTCGAAGTACATGCTCCTCACGTCTTCCTCCAGTTACCTCCACATCGCATTGTCATCCTGCTCCATTCATCATTCACCCTGTGACGCGGAACCCCTTAGTCCCGTCCAATCACTCGCCCAAGTCGGTTAGTTCTCAACTCCACCGCCAGGCGGCCTGTGTGGCCCCTAACCGGGGGTCCGCGCGCGGCCCGAGCGAGCACGGCAGGACAGGCGTCTTCACAGTACCTCGGAGTGGCTTTTACGGCGTGCGAGAGCGCTCGATGGGCTCGATACAATGCCTTGTTGGTCTCGCTCAGTGATCAGTGGCAGTGGAGTGGTAGGTAAATGTTAGATCCTTTGTGCCCGGCAGTCGACAGCAGTGTACGTTTCTTGGAGGTAGTCAGGTAAATAAATTATTTTCTACAACTACCAGCTGTTCTTTGAGTGTGCGTATTTGATGTTTGGTCTCCGAATCCCTCACGACAGTAAGGAAAGGAAGGAGGAAAGAAAGAAAGAAAAAAGGAAGATAGTTTTAGAAAGAAGTTTTTACTTGAGTCAACACATTTCGTCACTGATGGTGTAATTTTCTGCTACTGGTGGCGGATGGCGTCAAGGTTTACGTCATAAAAGGAAGACTCACTACCTCATTGGTATTCTACGTGGACACAGGGGCAGGCTGAAGGTTATGTACTCGTATTTGTGGAATGTTCATGATATCACACAATAAAGATGCGTGATAACATTTGTGTGATTACGTTAGCGCTTCGCTTGAGAATAGTCCGTCGAGCTAAGAGTGACTGCTTGACTATGCTTAATGGCCCGCCTACCATGTTGATAGTTCGTTCCATTTCAACTTGCGTTTTGCTTTATTTTTGTAGAGCACAAACTGCGCCGTCTGATTTTATGTGGCTGTTTGACAATTACCCAGATCATTGGATGGTATAATCGTTAGTTCCTGATCGATTGGCGTCCGTTGCCCAAATTCTGATCCACAGTCCTACTCCTGACCGCACAGTCATCACCTCACTAGAGTCGTAATGACCTCTCGGCGCCACCAATCACCAGATTGATGGCTCGGATCCTCCGCTCGCTCCGTGTTGAGGCGTGGCTGCTAGTCAGTGGATCGCGCTGAGCTGAACAGCCCGTCTGTGAAACTAATGGTCCGCGCCGACTGGGCGACCGTGGCGAATCGATGGCCGCCCCACACACCGACCACTGGGTCACTCTGGAGCGCGGCCGTAGGCTCCTTCTCCAAAGGTCACGTCTTCGATGGGAAGAAATTGCCCGTCTTTGCTGAGCTAATGCGGTGCTCCCGATTTGGGTAAAAGTGTCTGTGATCTGAAGGTCTATTTCAAGCGGTAGACTACCGTTGACTTTTTTGTCACACCAAGTTTAACGTTTGTTTTGACTCAGTTTCCGCTATGAACAGACACGTATCTTGGCATTTGCCGTTTTTGTCTGATAAGGGGCGACCACCAATTTTGACGTCGCTTTACGTACGATTCGGTATTCAGCAAGGTAGTTCAAAGGCAAAACAAAAGCAATGAACGCTTAGTTAATATCGCAAGTCTCGCTCGTGCTCAACCAACGCGTCTTATATCTGTATAAGCGCTAAATAACTCGTCATACCTCCCTCTGATCTGCCATGATGAGGCGCTGTCGGGGACCGGCTCCCCTCCCGGCGCGGCCTTCCGCCGGCCTTTGATACGGGTGCGGCGTCCCGTGCCACCTCCTTTGTCCCTCCGGCGGGGAGCGCTCCCCTCGCTGCCGTTCAGCGTCCCCGTCCCTCCCCTCGGTACGCGCGGCCGACGCGCCGCTCAGAAAATCAATGTTCTATCGCACCACGCCGACCGAGCCGCCGCCGCCGCGGCCCAGCGTCGGCAACGACGGAGCTCCGTCGGCGCCGACGAGACGGCCCGTCGGCGACGACGGGACCGAGAGCTGTCACTGAGTTGGTGGTCGGTCTGACTTCCGAGTGGCTTGGATTCTGACTGTCTGCGACAGACAGACGGCTCGGAGCTGTTGGCCAGACTGGCCCCAGCTGACTGACTGGCTGGGTCGGATTCTGAACGGTCAAAGTCTGAACTCAAGTGTTTTACAAGGGAGGGGTACTCTTGGGCCATATGGTGTCGGGTACTGTCTCTGATAGCCCGGCAGCTGTCATCCGCCGCCCTGAATACCAGCTCAATGACCGGCTGGTACCGGGTCGTGTGACCTGGGGCAGGGGCACTCATCCACCAAAGAAGGCGGGCGGGACGAGCAGAAGTTGAAAGATGTTCACGCTCGTCCCTTGGCCACCGTCGCTACCGAGCGTCGGTCGTATTGAGTCCTTGACATCGCATTCCGCTTTCGTTTGTCGTTTTCGTCTCCCGTCTGTCTCCTTTTGATGAATCTCCTTACACAGTTTGCATTGTCTCGTCCAAGGCTTTTTCTCCGCCTCCCATCTGACACGTGACCCCAGACTCATCACCGTCCCTCGGCTTTCGCCTGGCTAATCCCGTCTCTACCTAGCTGGCCGGTTTTCCTATTTCCCTAACGCGAATTTTTGTTCATAATGGTGACTTGGATCGGACCAGAGCAGACCTCAGACTATGTAATGCCTCAGACGATACCAGACCAGACCAGAGCAGACCACACTGAGCCAGTCATTGCCAGACCAGACCAGACACGGTCATTCGACTCTCGACTCAGAGCAGAGCAGCCGTCCAACTGGCATAATAATTTCAGAGCATGCACTGAAAATCAATGGAAAACTGTCATGTGTCAGACGTTAGTTTGCAAAACGCCGCGCTGGTCAGTTGTAGCTTCAACTTTCATGCCCTGTTTGCATTGCTGATAAGTTGAAATAGGTTGTTCTTTTGATTTAATTCGTTTCGTTGCATTCTGAGCTGCTAAGGTTCAGGTTATTTTGACAATGCTTGTCACAAGAGGAGTTTAGCAGAAGTCTTGTGGGATACTGTCTGATCGTTACTATCCGTCTAAAACATTCAAGACGGCGACCAATTATCTCCGAACGAGAAAACAAGTGTCTGGGAGGAGAAGCTGAGCGATGAGCTGATTTAGTGCCGTACTTCTCTCTTCCCAGGGAGGCCGTTAGCATGACCTTTTCTCAGCCCCGTTCACGGTGCTCATAAAAGAAATATTGCCCGTCTGGGGTGACTTTTGGCCATAAACCGTAATAGATACATCTTGCAGGACGAACTTCGAGAACTGAAGCCCCGGATGCCGGAACAGCTATCCGACAGCATGAGAAGGCTGTCTGGGATCTGGAGACGTTGCATTTCACGGTGAGGGACCATGGCTGGCTCTGGGCCACTACATGCCCATATTTGGCGTCCACCAGCTCGAGTTCTGCTCCTTTCAAACACGCTTTGATCACACCGCTGCTGGCGCCGTCAATAGTTGTACTCGCCTACCTATCGCACCATCTCGCCCCTGTAGCCCTCGTCATGTTCCCCGGACCCCGCGCTGTCCGCGGTACCCAATATCTCTCCGGCGTTAATCTCTGCTCACTGCTCACTGGTCAGCCGGCCGTTACAGCCGCCCTCCGTCGCCGGCCCTGGTTTGGCCAGATTTGGCGACAGACTCCTGGCGCCGGCCTGGGCCAATCGCCGGCTGTAAGCCGTGCTGATTAATTAGCTGTGGTCGGTCCGGACGGTCGGCGCCGGACGGTCCGTGTCGGCAGCCCGGCGTCCGGACGGCGCCAGAGGCCGGCACGCCCCCTCGGCCGGACGGTCGATACCCCCCCCCCCCTCCCCCTCCCCGGCGACATAGACCCGATCGGTGGTACACGGTGTGTGTGTGTGTGCGCGCGTCACGCATGAGAAACTGCGACCAACACACGCCCGATAGGACCGGTAGTGGGGGGGGGGGGGGGTGATTGTGGTGGGCGGGGCTGTGCTGTGCGGTAGAGGGGACGACGCCCTCAAATAGGCTGGGGTGCATACAAATGACACCATAGAACCACAATGGGGTCGACCGGTGGCCCTGCGGTCTGGCGGGGTGGCGGTAGGGCACGATGAATGACGTGATCAGGGTAACATCCCAGCTGTCGGGGGAATATAACTCAAACTGTCAACGGGGCCGGCTGTGGTGAGATACCGGTCACGCAAAGGACGAGCCATTCCGTGCTGCGATTCGCGATGGGTGAAATACTAACGTTTGACAACCTCTGACAGGTCACTATAACAGAGAAGAGACGCTCCTACCATGCTTACAGGCGTCTCCCGCTGATGAAAGTGATACGTTCTCCGTACATTCAGCACCGCTCCTGACGTAATGACAAAACAAACACGCCTTGCATCGCTCCTGACATTCGTCTCTTCGTCTGTTTACGTTACCAACAGATCCCATATACGCCATCTGTATGCACTGTCTCGTCAGCATTCGACCGAGGACGGTATTCTAGGAGCAGAGGGGCGACACCGTCATTATTTATTGAACAACCACACCCGACGCCGAGGCTATCGGCACGCGGGCCGCACGAAGACGTGTGTTGTACTGTAGCGCGGCCTCCCGACCGCGAGCAAAGCGAGTCTGACGTCACACGTCAGCTGGAGTGACGTCATAGTGTACCCAGGAAGGGTTAATATCAAAGCGAACCCTCAGGCGCAGTTAGTGTGGCGATTAGGTAATACTGTCTGGCTTTCCTTTGATGATATAATTAGATTTCCCGTTTAAACGTTGTCACGCGTCCGGCGAGTTACAAGAAAAGCAAACGCGTCATAGCGGATTAATTGTAGTGCCCTTGGAGCAATATCATCGATTCCTGCGATAACTGTTCTTCAGAACTCCTGAGTGAACATGATCCCGCCACACCCAAGCCCACACACAGCAGCCATCAGACATTTAACACTCGTGTGTTCCACCCGACATCCAAACCCGACCCGCACACACCCCAATCCGTTCCCTCCCGCCTCAGAACCTGAACACGAATCCCTTCAGGTTGGCCGCCTTCAGCAGCGCCAGTGCCGCTTTACACCCGGGCGTCATCTGCTTCCACAGCTGCGCCTTCTTCTCCCGCTCCAACTCCTCAGGCGTCTTCTCTGCTCCGGCTCCTGTCGGCTCGGCGCCCTCCGGGTTGTTCACCACCTCGGCGTGCGTCTCGATTTGACTCGGTGGTGAGGTCTCCGTGGGCTCGCCTCGACTTGGCATTGTGGTCTCGGTGACCTCTTCGCCGGACTTTATGAGCACGACACCGTTCTGTTGGACCACTACTACCTCGTCAGACGCACCCGCTTCAGGGCCAGAGCCGTCCTCCGCGGTGGACGGCGGCAGAGACGATGGTTCTTTGGACGGCACAACGTCAGGTGCTGCTTCAGCAGAGGCTGCTGATGGTTTTGTGTCCTCAGCTGCCGCTGGCGTTTCCGAGAGTGCGACTGGTTGCTCGGTCCCAGGCGCTGCCTCGTCCTCAGCATTCTCTTTCTGGTGATCCTCATTGGGGTTCTGTTTTGCGTTCTGGCAGTCTGTGGGCTTGGGATCACTGCTCTGGACGGCAGGTTCGTCCGTAGTCTGAGGATCAGCAGCAGTCTGCAGGTCTGAGACAGGCTCTGTGCTCTCCTTGGTTGCTGTATCCGCCTCCTTCTCCGGGGCGGGGTCTTCTACCGCCTTCTCCTGTCGCGCCGGGCAGCGCTTATCCTTCTTGTTTCTCCGCCTCTTCTTGGGCGGCTGCTGGCGAGGTTTGGCGGCCGGCGGGGGCGGCTCCGCCCTAGACTCCGCCGGCGGTACCTTAGAGTCCTGGCACGGCACCTCAGCTGTCACCGCCGCCGGGGCTGGGGAAGATGATGCCGCTGATTCACAGTTCGCCACCACTTCTGACGTGCCCGACACATCACAATTTACCGCCGGTCCACAGCTGTCCGCCGTCACCGACGTCACTGCCTCGTCACTCTGCGGCCCGTCCCGCGCGTCCTCCCCACTCCCCTCGCCCTCCCCTATGGCACTGTCTCCCTTCGCTGTCCTCCAGGGGTACTCCACGCCCAACAGCTCTGCCAGGTCGGGCACTCGGAACACCGAACGCTGCTCGGAGAAGAGTTCGTCCCGTGTGAGAATCACCAGGCCGAGCGATTCGTCGGCCTCGCAGTGTTTACCCTCGTTGTAGAGACGCTCCAGGTCGGTGGAAGGCAGCGAACACCTGTCGATGGAGAGAGGGAGGAGTCAGGTGGAGAGAGGGAGGGAGCGGGGAGGGAAGGAGGTGTCGGCTCAGCACGCGAGCGGCGAGCGCCGATCGTTATCCAATTTAGGGAGAAGCAACAGTGTTTGAGCTGAGAAAGCCGCGGGCGATGCTACAAGATTAGAACGGTCGATGCGTCAAACGAAGCCACGTGACTACAATGTTGATATGTAGAGGCCAACGATATAAGCGCACAATCTAATCATGCCTGTTCATAGAAACGTGCCTATATTTAATGCATGTAAAAGCAGCACGCTGCATTGCAAAGCTGCAATAAGCTGCAGCTTATGGCATGGTGGCTTACAAATCCGTGTTTAATTGACGATTACCGGTTACTGTAAAGCTCCAGCTAAACAGCTATCACTTCCCGGAATGGAATTATTTGGAATGTCATCAGTCAGCGATTCATGACGGATATATTCAGGGGCGCGGGAACTACTTTCCGACTGGGGGGGCACACCATAATAGAGATTAACCTAGGGTACCCCCAAATCTAGTTTTCTCACCGGTTTTAGGCCACTTATTTTTCACCCCTCGGCTTTTTCAACAAAAAAAAGAAAACATTTGCAAAAAAAAGTGTGGTATTCCGTCTCAAAGCTGTGGGGGCACCGCCCCCACGGCCCCAGAGTTGGGGGGGGCAAGCTGCCCCCACTGCCCCCCGGCTCCCGCGCCTATGGATATATTTCAGTAAATCGCCTTACCGCGGTCATCCACAACACAGGCACCGTACAGCGCCACTGACCTGAGTATGAACTCGAGGGTGGGCCTCCCGCCGAGCCCCCGGTCCCGCAGCACTCCCGCCAGGTACGGTCTGCTGATGTGTGTTAGCGGCACACCGAGCTCATCTCGCACCTCTCGCCGCACCGACTCAAACACCTCGCTGAGCGCGGCACGGTGCCGCTCCTCGGCGGCGGGACTCTCCTCGGCAGAGCTGGGCCGGGGCAGCTCGTCCGGCTCGGCGTGACCCCCGGGCCGGTCCACCAGGCCGGGGTACTCCCCGACCCAGAGAGCCCGCCGCACGAGGATCACACGGTTATCGGAGGTGAGCAGGGCCGCCCCGACGGCCAGCGGGTCGGCCAGGAACGCCTGCGGGTCGCCGTGCACCGCCTCGCCGGCCTGCTGCAGCTGCCGCTGGCCGGCCCGCAGGTTGGTGCCCACGTGCTCCCGGTAACTGGTGAGACCGAGCTGCAGCTGAGGTCGGTCGGAGCACCACTGCAAGCCCGCGTACCGGAACTTTGAGCCGTTGAAGAGGCGCGGGTTGGCACGGCTGGCTCGCCGCCACTGACTGGCGATCGCCTCCTCCTGGGCCGGATTCGTTTTGCGCCCGAATCGCTCCGGGTCGAAACAGGCGTCGAGATCCTCCTGGTCGAGCGGAACGGAGTCGCGGAGCAGGCACAGAATCTGTGGCAGGTCGCCGTCCGGGGCCTCCATCGCAGGAGACCACGCTCACTTCACACCTGCGCGACGCCGGCCCCTCATCGACGAGTCACCGACGAATACTGGTCAGAGTCCGGCTCGACGTACGCTCCAGGCATGCGCTCTTTGGCCATAGGTGGCAGCACTTGACGAGCCTGAGCCGATCAAGATTCGCAGTGTTCTTGAATATAAATGGATGAGCACGTGCTTTTAGAAGCACGCGTGATTTCACGAATTAAATTGATGTGGATATTGTTCCACGGAACTAGTTCATGATGAATTTAGCCGAAATATCTCGTGCATGTTCGATGAGTCCGTAAAGGAAAGAAGGACCAAAATTTGCTATTTGGAAGCATTTGGTTTGCTTCCAAATGTCTAACCGTATACGGCGCAGCTGGGACATATGTGGTCCTCATTTCAGCTGTTCATTTATTGTGCTAAAGGCAGTTTGACGATTTCAAACAGCCAGTTGCTAGGCAACTAGCTGGAATCATAGCGTTGTTTGAGATACTTTAGCAGGTTGCCCGGCAACGTAGCATGACTGCGTATTCGATGGAACAGAGCTATGCTGATTAAGCATCCTTCTTCACAGCAACGTTTATTATTTTGGTTGAGTTGTTATGAGTTTGCAATTTTGTTAATCAATTGATGCCAAGTAAATGTGGTGCTTTGCTCGTATTTTTCTGTCTTGCATGTTATCGCTAGACAAAAAGTTTATAAAATTTGTCTCCTCAAATGGAAGCTGTGGACATAGATAAGGCTTTTGACGATTTGGTGTTGATTGATCAGATTGAATCGGAGAAGGGTTACAAGGTTAGTTTTACCTCAACCCTCAAAGAAAAGTCGGTTATACTGTCTGGGATTTATCATTAGAGGCTAGCAGCACTCATGCCAAGCATTGTATTCAGCATCATTTTTGTTTGCTTCCCTTTTTCTTAGCAGGGAGTGTCCCGACTTGCATCATATTTTTTTTGTCTCGGTAGTTGTTGACATAAGGTCTGTTGTCGCATGGGTTAGTGGGTGAATACTCTTGGTCGTCTGATCATGGCGGTGGCTTAGAAAAAGAAAAAAAGTCGCCTTGAAACATGATTGTAGCCTGCTTATTATCTGTGCTGGATTTGGAGGGTCTTAAATGTTTTGCAGATTTTAACTGGTGGGTTTCCTGTGTCTGCAATAGGCTTGATAATTGACAATAAACAAAAATGCTTAAGAAATCCTAGGCTAATGCTATAAGAATTTGTTGAGATGACTGTTACTTAATCATTTTATGTAAAATGCATTTTTAACATTCTGTCAACTTTAAATTATTATTCAATGCTTAAATGCATTGAACAAATGGTATTCAGAAGCTACCTAGGGGCCAGAAAGGATTTTCAGAACTGCTTTCCATCCTTATATGCAGCTATGTAGTTGACATGTCTCTGAGTATGTAATTCAGACTGGACATGAACAGTCAATATCCAAGGATTTAAATATTTTCATCAAAGTCTAACCACTGCATAATGAAGATTCTGGCACTTTTTCACTGCATGGAATTCCTTGTTATGCTATGACTGCTAATTTTACTCATTTTCTGTATATGGCTGTGACTTATCAATCACCCTCATCATGTAGGTAATAATACTTTTTTATATCTGTGTCCAGGACGGTTACGAGGTGGGCTGCAGGGAAGCGGCAGCCACCGGCGCTGGACTCGGCTTTCAGAGAGCCGCCCAGGTCGCCTCTGAGGTCGGCTTCTATGAGGGCTTCATCCAGCAGATTGAGGCTTCACTGAACACCTCTGGGGCCTCTGAGGCATCAAACACTACCGCGGACTCTCCATCCACTCCTGTGACCGACCCTGCGTCCTCTGAGCGGGCGACTCGTCAGCTGCGGCGCGCCCGGCCGCTGCTGCTGTCGCTGCGCCGGCTCATCGGGCAGCTGCCGCGCCACAACACTGCCGACAGTGACGTCACGGCGCTGCTGGACGCGATTCGCGCCAAATTCCGGCAGCTGTGTGCCGTGCTGAGGGTGAACCCTGGCAGCAGCGAGCAGCAGCGCGAGATCTCCTTCTGAGACCGGAACAGGACGGTCCGCGGATCTCCAGTGAATGGTGCTGGTGATACTTTGATGCTAGAGTGATTGCTGACAATATTACCAGTAATGTGAGCTGGCTGACTGACTCATCGTTAGGGAAGAAGGTTTTTATATGACATAACTATTTTGTTTTTGTGGTGTGCTACAGTAAGCTACCAGTGCGGCGAATTTCCTTTCGATACCGTCGGTGATCGGACTGCGCCGCTCGCCACCAGGCGGCAGCACCGTCTACACCCTCTCTGCCCCGCCCCATGTCCGGTGAGGACACCATGCGTCCTCCGGTGAGTCTGCGCCGCGTGCACGAGGCGCTGCTGGGCGCCGCCGCCTGTCTGGAGCCCCTCCTGCCGCTGGCCAACAGCTGTATGGTGTCGTTCATTACGGAGGACCAGTGGCGCCGCCTGGTGCCCGGCCCCCTGGCGGCGGCGCTGCTGCAGCTGCCCGCCGAGCAGCTGCTGCGTCTGCCGGCAGCTGCGCCCGACCAGCTGCCGGCTGGGCCGCTGCGCCAGCTGGCCGAGCAGCTTGGACGGCACCGGCTGTCGGGGTGCGGGGTCCTCAGTCCGCCCCCTCCCGTCTCAGCCGCCGCGCTGCCTCTGATGGACCAGTTCTTCAGCGATAAGAAACTCCACGAGGTGGACCGTATGGCGGCGACGGTGGCGCACCTGGCGGCGACCGGCGGAGTTGGTCAGGTGGTGGACCTGGGCAGCGGGAAGGGCTACCTGAGCTCGATGCTGGCTCTGCAGCACGGTCTGGACGTGCTGGCAGTGGAGGCGAATGAGGTGCACAGTCACGGAGCGCAGAAGGTCAACGCCAACATCAAGGTCAGTGGCAGCCCGCGGCGGATACAATGCTCTGGCAGACCTTAGGTCGATTCCGCCAATGGAACGTTTCCCGAGAGATAATTGGGCATAGAGTTTCCACCATGGCCAGTGTTGATGCTCATCAGAATTCAAAATCTGAAGGTACCTGAACAAAATCTTTTTGTTCAGGTACCTTCATAAATGTACGTTGAGCACCATGCATAGAATATTTGAATTTTCACATGATATGTGTGGCTCCAAAAGTAACGTGGTCTCACACAGGACTATCGTAGCCTCTGCCTTCGTATTTCCTGACATTACGCCGCTGCGTTATGGTGACAGTTTTTATGACCGCCACTGCAGGACCGTGGGAGCGGCCCTCCTGTGTCACCGTGTCGTGTAGCGCCCGTCCGCTGTGTCAACAGCCGGTGTGTGTGTCTCCCCACTGACACAGCTCTGTGACACGGTTCTATGACACGTGTGTGTCGCCGCCGCTGACGCGGTGTGTCTGTGTCGTCAGAAATCCTGGGACGCTATCGTCAGTCGCTCGGCCGCACTGCAGATCGGACAGCAGCCCGAGCGGCGCAGTCGAAAATGGAAACGACAGCAGCGGAGGTGAGTGACACAGTAGTCGGTAAAGGAGGGGAGAGCTGTGAGATTGATATTCTGTGTGGTGCGCAGACTGCAGATGGAAACGTGATATGATGTGGTTTTAGGAGACGGCCATTCATAGGCAGGCTGGTGGCGCCGGCGATAGACCTATGAGAGCTCCAGTAATGTGTGGGCAGAACGATACACACCGTCTGCTGAAGGCAGCGTGCCTAGGATCCTTAACCCCAGACGACATAACTCTATTCCCCAAATAGCAAAACTTTTTGTCACGGCAGAGGTTAGGTATAATAATTTATAGGTATGTTTTACCTCGGTACAATGTTACAATGTTACAATGGACGGTACAATGTTACTCTTCAGACGGCAGAACACCTCGAATGGTTCCTGCAGCCACCTCCACCGCGGGCGGCGGCCGTAACTTGTCTGGCTGAGAAGTCACGACGTCTGCAGCGCAGTCGTGTGTTCTCCAGAGAAGTGATAACGCAGCAGTCGGGGGAGGTCTCATGTTCAGCCGTTGTCTGGAATTGTGACGTTGTCTAGTTTGACACGAGGTCCCTGACGGTCTTGGCCATGACCGCGGCGCATCTCGCCAGTCACCGGCGCCGTCGGCAGTAGCCCACCCATTCCTTCTGCCCCATTCCGCCGCCATTCCGTTGTGCCATTCCGCGGCGCCGGCCGGCCGTCGGCGCCGGCTAACGTCGTTACCTTTCGTTGACGACCTGATGGGATTTCTGCCGCCCGTGTCGGGCCGGATGCGCGGTGGACACAGCCCAGATTGGATTGTGTCCGCGCCGCGTGACTCTCCTATCTCAGCCCGTTGTGGTGAGTGTACTTCTGTCGGCGTGTGGTGGGCAGAAATCCCCCGGGGAGGGCGCGCTCTCCCCGCTGAATAACGGGGCGGTGTGGAGAGACCGGGCGTGTTTTGAGCGCACAGACGGCTACCAACTTCAGAGGACAACAAAGCCGGCCGGCGCCTCCTTTTCGGAAGCTTTGGACTACCATGTTTGTTAACACTTCATTCTGGCTGACGGCGCTGAAAACCGGGATGATGAAGGGAACTATTTTGACGTCAGAATGAATGTGACGCTGGAAATATTACCTAGTAGTACCTACATCGTGTGTTACAGTCTAAATATTGCTGTTGGCATATCCTCTTCAACTCGATTTAGGCTTCCTTGGCTTTTTGTCGTTGTTGAAAAAATATTTGCTGCGCATCCAATCATTCTATCAGATATACCTAATACAAAGGAATCGTCGTAAGCATGCACCCAGATATTTTTTTTTGCTTCAATCCTTACAAAGTCTATCAAAATATTGAGTTAACAAGATGCTTTTCTATGATAACGGAGTGTGATCTGAGTAAAAAGCCTTTCGGAGGAAGCATGTTTTGGCTTAAATTTGTTCGTGACTCCTCTCTCCTGCTACCGCGATCGCTCTTCTGCAGCAGTAGACTGAGCAGGGATAACCCTGTCCCTCGCTATCCTCCCCTTCCTTACCCAGTCCGGTATGTCGCCGCCTCTCGACACCGGCTTTATCTGTTCTCCGAAGCTTGGAGCGGTGTCGGACGCCACCGGACCACCCCGGGGGAAATTCACAGTGATGCACGCCGCTCCGATCGGCCGTGTTTTCGTCGGAGAACGTGCCGCCCGCCGGGGACCCTCTGTGGACCTTCGGGGCCTGCAGTGAGGCCGACCGACCCCCGGGTGGAGCTACAAGCAGCACACACACCGCCTAAATTGGCCCCTGAGGAGCGAGCGGCGTCCTTGGAAGGGCGGTTTACAGACGAGGCTGTGTTCGTGATCGGGACGGACTGTTGTCGTCAATTGGCTCTGAGCGACGCAGAGCGGTGCAGGGCGGTGCTCGGAGAACGCCTGGAGGAGGAAAAACGAGCGCTGGTGTGGGGTGGGGACTTAACCCTCGCATGTGTAGGGGGGGGGGGGTCGGATGGACCCCCCCCCATGGTTTTTCGCGAATAACTCGCGTAAAAAGCGGCCGATCGCGACGAAACTTTCAGTACCCTCGCATTGATCAATTTGACACCTACCCTGAAAATTTCATGACCCTGACCCAAATGACCTTTGACCTGTGACCTCTTTTCCGAGACCATGTTTGGCCGGAATCGCGATTCGGCGTACGTCGGCTCGCATTAGCCGCGCGTTTGCAAGCTTTTCGTGGTTTCAAACGTTCAAACATGTGATGTGATGTTGCTTCCATGCATTAGGGTGGGTGTCAATGTCACCTGAAGGTCAGGTCAGGTCATTGACCTTTGGTGACCTCGGGTGACCTCAGTTCACTTTTTCGAGTTTTACATGTTTCTAGGCTAGTTTTTGGAGCTGAATTCGAATTTAGCAACCATTTGAACATTTACGAAGTAGTTTTGGTGCCTTCGTAACATGTTACGAAGCTGTCAGAGGCGGTTGACACGTACTACGAATACCCGTCACGACGCCTACTGGTTGACCTGACCTGACCTGACCCGACCTGGTCTAAATGCTTAAAGACATCATCTGTGATCAAAACTAACACGATATTCGTGATCAGCACCCCGAAAAACCCCTTAGCAGCCACACTTTACGACTTTCTAATAGGTCCCGATTTTCCCGACTTTGGGTCATTGACCTGACCTGGAAGGTCAACCAATGACCTAGGACCTTAAAATTGGGTATCATCGGCTTCCTCTCGTCACGGGCAACACGCTCGTTTTTTCCGCGAAGCTCTAGCTCGATCAGGGGCCAAACGGCAAGGGGGGGGTCCAACCGACCCCCCCCCCCTACACATTAGAAGCTGTAAAACGCCGCACACATGCGAGGGTTAAAGGAGCGGCTCTGGGCTGCCGCGTGTGGTGCTGAGACGATAAACGAACAACAAGTGGGGTGGAAGACGCTTATGGGGATTTGGGAGAGGTTTTGTAGTAATTTATGGGTTGTTTGTTGTGTAATATCGTTCGCTGCTTTTTCTCGCGGGATATGTCCAATGTGAAATTCAGAAGTCATTGCTACTTGGGGATGCATTCGCGACGGCATGGATCCACTTCGTTTTGGAATAATAGATGAAGATGGGAAGTCTGACTTTGTTGCAGATCTGCAGCAACTAAGGAGTGACCTGCTCTAGATATGGGCTCTCTGATAATAGGAGTGATAGAGACCCAGCCTCCAGACAGCCCCGCTCCGCGGCGCCGCGCAGCGTCCGGCGGTGTGATTTAGCGGCTGTGTCCACGTGGGCCACCTGCGGCGGCGGTGTCTCTGATTCACGGTCCGTATCTGTCCCCGGCCGGCGGCCCGACCTGACGGCACCCGCGGGACCGATGGCCATCGCCCCGCAACCGGTGAGCTTTCCCAGCGGAAACTTTAGCTAAATTACTGGCCGCCGGAAACTTCTCAGGAACCTTTCCATGGACCGGCGAGAAGTTATTGGCCGCTGGTTTGAGTTAGGTCTGTTTTATCAGAAGCGGGCTCATTTATTTGCTGGGAGATCTGAAATTGAGGACGGTATGCCTGGGACTGTTTCGTGAAAGCAGTTGAGCGGAGGCTGCTGAATTGCATAGTTTTATGATTTTCCATGGTTGGCATTTGATGAATCGCGTCGTATTTTGAGGCGTATACGGTATAGCGCATCCTGTTGTCACTTTTGATGCCTCAAATATTCGTGATCCAGCATAACCAGTGACGATGCATTGAATTTGAGGAAATAAAGGGAGAGCGAGAGAGAAAAGAAGCGGAAAGACGACACAGGGAAACCAGGCCCAGACCCAGACTAATGGTCTGGGTCTTAGTCTGGTTAGATCCAGACTAGACCAGACCACATCCATGTCCAGACCCAGACAAAATCAGACCAGGCCAGACCAGGCCATTCCTCAATCCCCCCCCCCCCCTCCTCCACTCCCGTATGCGACCAGTCCACCCTCAAGCTCACTCAGCGCTCGGACGCAGCAGCGCCCGCACTGCAGTTTGCCATTGGCACGCCCCTTCTGCCGCGCTTATGTCGTTACGTCGGAGTTTACGGCAGCGAAATATTAGCGATGATGATGAAACGAGTGCAGAGCTGGACGTGGCCTTTGTGCCGAATACACCAGATGGGTGCAGATGATGTATGAAGTCTTTGTATGAAGGTCAGCGTTCGTACTGTTACGCCGTGTTGGGATTTGACTGCCCTTTGTGCTACATTTATGAAGATTGGGGATGGTGCTTCCTCACGTCTTATCTGCTGTGGAACGACATGATGTCTGAATATGTCCAGTTGCTGACTCACTTGCCCGAGATTTTATGTAGGATTTCTGATATGTCGGAGAGCGTGTAATCCCATGGCTTACTGTCTCGGTGATAAATTTCCGAGGGAACACTGGACTGTAAGCAAGCACCAATTCTTTAGAACATATCTGAGCACTTGGAATTTCAGCTGCAATAAGACAACGATATGGCATCGGAACTTCCATGGCAAACATTTTGAATATTTTGAAATGAAAAATCCGTTTTGATAGGGGGCGTTCAAAGTAACTTCAAAAGCATTTTTGCTTTGGAGCTGCTGGACCTCTTTATTCAAGGTAGATATTAGCTTATAGATTACTTTTATCAGCATACCACATTTGATGTCCCAGTAAGCTTTGTGCCAACCTTTTGTATGGTCGGATAGCGTGGGGGACTGATCACCACTAGTATTGTGGCCTCAGAGTTCTCTCCTCCATTTCCGGTAGCCTAGGCGGTCGGATTTTGTGTGACCTGAAGTTACGGTTTGTGTGAACTAACCTGCCCCAGCTATGTGCTTTGGCATCCGGCTGCCACGGTGGGTCCGATGCTATGCAGTTATTTGGCGTGATCTGACCTTAACCTGACCCCTGCAGTGTGACAGGACAGCCGCTTCGCTGACGTCATATCCCGGCAGTTGCTGGGGTATTTCGCCACCCACCGTTTGCTGGGGGGGGGGGGGCGTTAAACGCCCCCAGCCGATAACTCGAGAACCAATAGGCGTAGCGAAACGCACGAGGCGGCAAACGAAAGAGCGCGACGAGACGCTTCAGATGAGTACTTGTTGAATTTTGAGGTCACAGGTCGGGTCAAGGTCAGGTCAAACACCTGAAATCGGGCTTTCAGTAGCATGGACTTCAGGACTTCGCAATGGGCGCCTCTCGCCATAAACTCTGTCAAAACGGTGCACAATCCATCTTATAAGGCCTACAAGAGTGTCAGCTCCATGTAGGGGTCAGTCAAGCATAGCTCAGGGTCAAGGTCAGGTCAACCACACATATCCCCGTCAGGCACATATCCCCGAAAATCAAAACTGATATTCGCAGCCTGTGACACATGTTTTATAGGTAATTTGGGGCGTAGAACACGATGGTGACATTCATTTTATCATATGTGTACGTGTTTGGCTCAAAAAGCTCAATTTAAGAAATTCATGTATCATGGTCGTGAAGAAGTCACGAAAAATTGCCAAGATTCAGTTCAAGATTATGGAAAATGCGGAACGATAATCAATAATCGAAGATAGCTATTTGATTGACCATGGTATTGGCAGTCTAATGGCGTTTACGGCATCTCTGTATGTCTATTCTGTGATTTTATATGATTTTTTGAACATATGCCGTTTTTGGTCGAAAACTCAAATCATGACGTCACTAAAACCTCGATATCTCAAAAATTTTCCGACCGATTTTTTTGAAACTTTGTCACAATAAACTTCAATCAATTCCCTACAGGTATCCAAAATTTGGCGCGCCTACGGCGCGCCGTTTTTATGCTATGGCTCGGCGAAAAAAGTGGGGGCGTTTAACGCCCCCCCCCCCCCAGCAACTCGCGGATATGATCTGACCTGGTCTGCCCCTCTCTTACCCCGTCAGCTGGGACAGATTACTGACTTATGTGAACTGACTTGACCTGCCCCCTCTCTTTTCCTGCAGCTCTAGGACAGATCTGCTGACTCGTGACCTGACCTGACCTGCCTCCTCTCCTTTCCTGCAGCTAGGAAAGATCTGCTGACTCGTGACCTGACCTGCCCTGCCCCCTCTCCCCCCGGGCAGCCAGGACCGCTCCCGCCACCGCCCGGCGCCGGGCCGTCTGACCCCCGTGGACCAGCTGGTCACCTCTGGCACACACCTCTCTGAGCTGGTCGCCCTCCACGGGGACGGATACCGACCCGTGGCCGTGGTGGGGCTGCACACCTGCGGAGACCTGGCCGTCAACTCGATCAGGATGTTCAACGAGATGCCGCAGGCCAGGTGAGACGGTTTGAGAATGGTGGTGGTGGTGTGTGTGTGGGGGGGGGGGGGGGGTAAGTAAGACTGCAGGGAATACCCTCGTTTGAATGATTAGTATGTGTAAGTACAACTCGTATTCTGCCTATCACCCTGAACACGCTATTCTGAATGGTATTATAACCATAAAACACCGCCTGAGCTATGCGATACGGCCGTGGCCGGGGTTTGTGAATACCGGCGCCGGTCGCGGTATGTAAACTGCCCGTACCGGGGTATAACTGGTGTAAAATTCGAACGTCACATCCTGCCCTATCCTTCTCCCATGCCGCCCCCCCCCCCACCCCACCCCGCTCTTTTCTGTCCTACACTGTCCCCTTCTCTTACTACTCCGTCCTTCCCTCCCTCCCCTCCAGTCCTTCGTCACGAAAAGGGCGTCCAAATGTCACGGTGCAGGTGACCCACCTGTCTTGTCGTCATTTTTCAAACACGTCCGTACGGAGCGTGTGTGTTGTGTGTGTAATATGTATTGTAGGTGTCATCTGATACCGCCCGGGACGGGAAATGTCACCCTCGGTCCCCTTCCGGATCACGGAAAGGTCAGAGTTCGGCCGGGTCAGTCGCAGGGGGCTGTCAGTTTGCTGTGTGTACTGTGTGGACTTTGTGGAACGAATTCATGGCGTTACGTGGTATGTTGAATGTTGATACTTTGCGACGGTGTTAAACGGTATGACTCAGTTATGTTTCGCTTGGAATGGCATGTGCCAATGAAGCACACTGCGGCTTGTCGTGCGGTAAATCACTCACGCGTTTTACATACTAAATTTCAGTTAGCGCCGTCGTCGTGTTGACTTTTACGGTGAATTTTATGGCGGACAGAGTATGTATTCGGCGGTTGCTGGGGACCCCTGTCGATAAAACCGCGAGGGACTGTGCCATTTGGGCTATGCGGCACTGCTCAACTGGGCGCATACATGTGCTGGTGTCCGGCATTAACCCGCGCCCCGCTGGGGGGGGGGGCAGAATCTGCCCCCCTCCCGTTTTTCGCCAATAACTTCTAAACGCGTTACGCCAGCGACGTCAAACTTTCAGTACCTTATCATACATCAATTTGACACGTTCCCTGAAAATTTGAGCGAAATCCGTCGGAAAATTTTTGAGAAATTGACGTTTTAGTGACGTCATGTTCGCCATTTTCGCCTCAAAAACGGCAAAATTTCAAACGCCGCTAACATCTTCATTTTTAAAGGAATCAAGACGTAACAAAAAAGGTTATACGTGATTCTACTTTGTCTATCAAATGGCTATCTCGGTTTTTTGAAAATTTTGGATTTTGGCCAAAATTTTTCCAAAAAACTGACTTTTTTGGGAAAATATTTATAAAATCCAAAATTTTGAGTTTATCGAAAAAACCGGAATATATGTCAAAGAAGTGGTCTACGTGCACCTACATACCAATTTTTAGAAGAATCGGTTCAAAAATGTGGGAGTTATTCAAAATTTTATGACGTCACGACACACAAAAATTTTGAAAAATGATTTTTTTGGAAGTTCTAGACCTCGTACGGAAACAAAAATAGCACCATTCGATTCGCCGTGAAAAACTGCATCGGATAGACACCTTTTTAGACCTTAACAACCAACTTCAAAATTTGACCTCACTTGACCTGACCTTGACCTGACCTCGACCTGAAATTCATCCAGAGGTGATCCATATCACTTATTGAGTGTGCCTATTGAATTCCATGAGTAAAATGACCCATAAAACATGTGTCGCACATGCCCTTTTCTATATTTTGTTTTTGGTGACCTGACCTGACCTGACCTGACCTTGACCTTGACCTTTGAATGACATTGTGTGCAACGAATATTGTCTTGGTAGTCTAAGAACACGTTTTGGGCAATCAGTCTCAGTCCATTCTTCGGCAACTACGGTGCAAGGCCGATGCTGTAGAAACTTGCATTTTGTACCCTTGACCTGACCTTGACCTGACCTCTGACCTACTTAAGCAAAAAAATTTGGGCTCTTAAGATCCGCCTTGTTGAGAGCTTTCGATTGCCGTTTTCCACGTCTTTCTACGACCATCGGTTCGGAAGTTAGACAGGGGGGCAGAATCTGCCCCCCCCCCCCCCCCAGCAGGGCGCGTATGGCTGAATAGCCCAGCGGGGCGCGGGTTAAGTTCGTTTTATGTTGGAAATCCTGTGGTGTCCTTACCATAATCCTCGTCCTGACCCGGGCACATACCAAAGCTAGCATTTCTGTTCGTAGCCCAGGCATAACCCGTCTTTCCGTCCTAACCAGGTATGGTGTCGCAGCCTTTTTCTGGGACAAGTCTGAAATACTTACCTGCTGAGTTTTGCTTCATCTCATGAAGGTATGCAATGTCTACATTGGTCATTTTAGGAATGTGCCGGGACTGTGTATCCGTCAGATTTGTCATCTCTAGTACCCTTCACCTCTGGGTACCGCGATGCACCGTTGTGCTCCGACCCGCACCATTGCACATTGAACCCACGGTGAAACATGGCCCCACATTATGTATCCTCACGGAGCGCCGTGCTGTGTCTGCGCTGTAGCCGCCGGTCGGGTCACTGGAGAATGGTCCGTCTGGCGTCTGCCCCATCTTCCCCTACCCCTTTCCCCCAGCACGTGATGGGACAGCATCTGTCACGGATAACCGCAGACCCTTCGTGAGCTGGCTTCTACCATGGCCAGTATAACCCCTGATGTTCATCGCTGGTATGAACTTTGGGTGACAGATTTTGATAAATTGTAAATCGTGACGCGGCCACTTTGGTTTTATTGGTCTGGTCATGCGATCCGTGCGAATCTGCCTGACTATGCATGAGGTTGGTATTAAATGAATGGGATCAGCTATGCACGCATGGTGAAATAAGTAGCAGATTTGGTTGCATAACCTCAGATTGCTTGAATAACGTTCTTCAGCGCTTTTTTCTTTTGGGAGACAGTCATGTCCCCGTATAAATGCTCCCTTGGGTTAGTTTCAACTAAACCAAAATTATTTTCTAAGCAAATAAACCGTGAGCTCCCGCACAGATACTCTCTGTTGCTAACACTCCAGAATCTAATCACTACCACCCCTCCTCTGCGTAATGCGGGCTCCGTTTCGCTGACGGGCCGCCCCGCCCCGTCTCCACCCTCGTGCATTGTCCGCCCCCTCGGCGACTCGCTGAATGAACTGTCAGCGACTGATGGCGTCCGCGGCAGCCAGCGACGACCCTTCCACTGCCGCCGCAGCCGCGATGCCGCTGTCGTAACGACGACGACGACGACGACGATGAAAACGCCGGCGTTGGGGACTACTGTGCCATGTATTTATACGGCTGTAAACATGCAGTGGCTGCGTGAGATGTGATATTGCGTCGATCGAGAGGCGCGCTGACGAGTTATGTCGGGTTCCAAGGACGTTTCAGATACATCTTGGCGGGAGGAGTGGACCTCAGCTGACGAAAATCGCGCTAATTTATCGCAAAACTTTGGGCGATTCTTCATAATGACGCTAATACTGGAGAAGGGTTGGAGGAGTTGTCGTTTATCGTCTGCTTGATACGGGAATGTGGTGCGATTTGAGCTGGCGAAGGCTGGTGTGATGGGTAGGACTCAGACCCGTCTCACATCGTCGAGATGTATTGTGGGCTATTGAGAGTCGAAAACGACATGCCCTGTAAAATGGTTCGAGACCTTTGAATGTCGTAAGAGCGGTCCTTGCTTCTCTGGTTGCTACTTCCAAACCGTGCCTCCACTAGGCTGCGGGAGATGTGGTGCCGTAGAAGCTGTACTGAATCTGCTTTGCCGTAGAGATGTGGAGCTGCTACGAAGCTGCGACGTCGCAATTCTGCGAAAGCTGCTTTGTCGCAATGCTGCGGAGCTGCCCTGGAACTGTCGCACTCAGCCGCTCTCCGGAGATCGATTGGTGTCACGCACTGTCGTATCTCACCCGCCAGAGGTCCCCAGCAGCCAGCGAGCCACCCATTCCCCACCCCACCAACCGCCGGCCGTTTACCAGCTACCAGTTACCACCCTGGTATTTGTGGGCGCCGCCGAGAGCGCCCGTTACCGGTGCTCGAGGCCCAACGACCCAGCCACAAATTGTGACAGAATGGTCCGCGGGAAATTGGTTGTTTGATGGTAGTGTGATCCCCCGCTATTGCGGTGCGGTTTGAAATCGAGATGACGGTGCTATAGAACAGATTGGAAAACATCACATCAGGCCAGCTCTTGTTCTGTGTAAAATAACTTTTTTTATGTTAGCTAGATCGTGTCAAGCTACCCGATGAAGGTGTCTAACATTTTATGTGGATTATGTGCGATATTGTATTCTGTCCCTCTACCAGCCTATCTCACTGTTTGCCTAGTCATCATATGTTTGTCTGTCTGTTTGTCTGTCGATCTGTCGACCTGCATGTCTGTCCCTGCATGTCCTTTCGCTCGCCATTTATCTATCCGTCCATCTCTAACCTCCGTTCTCCTCTCCCCGGCAGTCTATTGGTGAACGTCGGCTGTTGCTACCACCTGCAGCGGGAACGGTTCGAGGGTCAGTTCTGGGCCGACCTTGACCTGCAGGAGGTCAGTTTCCCGCTCAGCCGCCCACTGCTGGAGCGCCGGTTCGCGCTGGGTCAGCAGGCTCGCGGACTGGCCGCCCAGGCCTCCGAGAGGATCGCTTCCTACCAGCGGGTGCGTACTCGTATACCGGGGACGGCCCACCGTGCGCGCCGCCAGCCCATTTACCGTAATTGGATGAGTCTGTTTTCATTGGAACATTTTTACAAGACGGGATAATCTTGTCGGAACGAATGGATATTGTTGTGGAGTTTGCTAGAGATAATCACGTCAGCTATTTTGATTATACTGGAGAGAGACGCTGCAAGAAGAGCTTCTTGTGCAGCTGGAGGGTCTCCAAGGAAGGCTACGGTAAACTTTTAAATTATTCTGGAATCTCTCGGCCTGGCGCGGCTGTCTTCAGTTCTGGTCGCTCCCGGACCTTTCACTTGACCCAGTCCGACTGCTTCGGCGACTTCTGCTGACTCGCTGGCGATAGCGCCGCGCCGTCAGCTCTCCAGAGTTGATATTCACCAGTGGCTGCTGAAATATCCATCTTGGAATTGACTTCTGTGAAAAATATCAGACCATCACAGCTCGCTGTTGACTGGGCCTTTGATCAGAGTGATATTTGGCGCACCAGACGCATATAGCGCCGCGGCTAGTGATGTTTTATGCGTACGGAGCTGAGTGCTCGTAGTGGGCTTTGAAGAGAGATGGAAGGGGTCTCGATGGGGTGTTCCCAGTTTTACCGTATTGAGTGCGTTTGCGTCCGATCTGTCCACGCTCGTATATCACTACTCTCGGTTTGGGAGTTGATGCGCTCGAATTTATAAGTTGTGCCCGATTCGAACTTGTGTTGTGCCGTTTCTTTGTCTTGGTGTTTTAGCGTGCAGCTAAATATAGATTCGTTTGCTAATTTCTTCCGATAGCATAACAGTTTCGTCTTTTTTTTGCATTGCGTCGCTCTCTTTTTGCTATATTCATGTTGTGGATCATTCATTGATAACTTGGCTATAGTTACCTATTGTTGGTGTTGAGGTTGATTTTATAGTTCACATAACAACACTAAAGTCTTGAGAATTCCGAGACATCACAGAAACAGCAGCTCCGCTGTCCCCTTTGACGTTTATTGAGACACTCGGCGACTGGCCGTGTTTCACAGAAGAACACATTCGTCGGCAAAATTAAAACGGCGTCATGCCTGGGGAGTTTGCCGTCAACAAACTCTGTCAGTGCTTAAACTCAACAGAGAGATAACAGGCGGACAGGCGAAATTCAAACAAATTTGGTGTCATTATAGAGCAGACATTGTTTTAGTTGGTGGGACGATTTTTCTGACAGCTTTTCGTTCTACTTACCACTGTCACTAAGCTTCTAGCTGTTCGAGATTTGGCAGGCGGGAAGACGGTTCGGTGAAACATCTGCCCAAGAGAACGCTTCAAATTATACTTAAAGTTTACCTTGCTATCGCGCTAATGCTGTTCATTTTTTTTGACATTCAATTAATGGATGTGACTAAGGTTCAATATATACTTAATGAATGTAATAAAAGACATCATATGCGTTGATTATTGCTTCTAATTAGGGATTAAAGTAACATTTAAGTTATATTTTTAGTTTTAATTTATTTCATTCGTTGGTATCCTAATTACTGCAGTGGCTCCACGCGTCTCAACTCTGTATTCTTGAACATGTAGTCCCTGCTAAGTTACATCTCACGATACTGACGTTTTTGGCTGCTTGCGTTCATCTCAGCCGCCATTGGCTCGGTACCGCTATGGGTGTTGCGTTCTGTTACCGTGCTAACGTCTCTGTGTCTGTTCCAGCCGCCGTCTCCGTTCCTGTACTGCCGCGCAGTACTACACCTAACCTTGTGCCCCGTTCTGTGACCTTTGCTGAGTGTTCTCCGTCTGTTCCAGTACTTCCAGTCGCCGTCTCCGTTCCTGTACTACCGCGCGGTACTACAGGTAGCTGTGTGTCCCGTTCTGTGACCTTTGCTGACTGTTCTCTGTTTGTTCCAGGCGCCGTCTCCGTTCCTGTACTACCGCGCGGTACTACAGGTAGCTGTGTGCCCCGTTCTGCTACATTTGCTGACCTTTTCCGCTCTGTTCCAGGCGCCGTCTCCGTTCCCGTACTACAACGCGATGCTACACGTAACCTTGTGCCCCGTTCTGCTACATTTGCTGACTGTTTTCGCTCTGTTCCAGGCGCCGTCTCCGTTCCCGTACTACAACGCGATGCTACACGTAACCTTGTGCCCCGTTCTGCTACATTTGCTGACTGTTTTCGCTCTGTTCCAGGCAGGGTTGTGCTCGACTCAAAAAAATGTGCCGACTCGACTCATCATTCAACTTCAGAATGCCCTGACTCAACTCTGACTCAAACAAGGAGCTGATTTTTTCCCTTGACTCGACTCATGACTCAAGCGGCTCAATGAAAATATGAGTTGACTCAAACTTGACTCAAATTTTTTGTTGAGTCAAGTGTGTTGACTCAAAATTGACTCAGATAAAAAAGTTGTTGAGCGGGGGGGGGGGGTGAAAAAATCCGACAACAGGGCCAGGCCTAAGTTGTTAAGCGGGGGAAAATGAAAAACTTATACACTATATATACACTACATACACTATATATTGTTTCTAGAAAGTTGAGTCAGCTGACTCATGTTCCTAAATGTTTTTGACTCAACTCAAGGTCAAAAGTTATTTTACTGACTCAACTCTGACTCAACTCAACACCTTAATATTTTTGTCCGACTCAACTCTGACTCAACTCAACAGCTCAACATTTTATCCGACTCGACTCAAATCTGACTCATTTGAGTCAGAGTTGAGTCAAATTTCTGACTCGACTCATGAGTCAAGCACAACCCTGGTTCCAGGCGCCGTCTCCGTTCCTGTACTACCGCGCGGTACTGCAGGTGTTTCTCCAGGACCGTCTGGGTACCGTTCCCACCGATATCATGGTCGGGAGACTGGCGAGGAAGGCCAGGGATTACCTGGACTACATGCACATGGCGCTCAGCAAGTACCCGCTCGACCACAGGGTGAGTGTGTGCTTGGTTTAGTAACTGAGTACGGAGACTGGTACATGGACGCGGATTTAGACTGCCGGCAGGATGGCAGTGTGTGCTTGTGGCCTTTGGAACAGGGGAGCGGTGCAAGGTGTATGGTGTGTGACTGTTGCGTACAAATTCAGAGTGAAAGGTCTCATATCCACGGAATCACAGGTTTCATATGCTTGGATTCGCATGTCCCCTTTACACGATGGTACAGCTTTCGTACAGATGAGGCTACAGGCTCAATACACGCAGAGGTACACAGCCGATCCCTGTGACCTGTATCTACCCAAAGTCACGGTTCCGCCTTCCTAACTGTCCATGACCATAGTTAACGGCTGGAGTTGGTCGGGCGGTGGCGGTGGACGTCGCCACAGGAGCGCGTGTGTGCCTAATTATGGTGGAACTCCGCCGCCGCCACCCACCGGCTGACCTCTGTCCCCCCGTCCCTCCCCTGTGACGGGCCGGGGACAGTGGACACTGATATTAACACCATCCATCAGTGAGATATCACCTCCCGTCATGGACTGGTGTCGAAACTATTCCACTGCGTCACAGGCTTGTCACAGAGTTTCCGCACGACCTGAAGGCGATGTAATGGCTTTGGAGCCTCACTTTGAAAATCCCAGATCATCAAAGATTGGTGAAGGGTATGACCGTTTAAAGTTATCACAGGGGCGTGACAGACTTCCCGTAACCGAATGAGAAACTCCACAAACTCAAAGTGTTTCTCTCTGGGCGTTACACCCTCTGTGACCGTTACGAAAGCCTCACAGAGCGTCACAAGCACCCCGTGACCGCTGTGTTCCCGTTGACTGCCGGCACAGACAATCCTCCGACCCTCAGCCGTACCCAAATAGCGCCAGGTAGTTCTGTGTACAAGCCCAGGCGGACCCCGCGGGCACTGCGAGCTTACTCCCAGAAATGGTGGTATTATCAGGCAGCGTTCGTGGTTTGTGTTCATTGCGCCACGGGAAATGTTGGCTTGGAAGGCAGTCATTGCCGGGTGGTATGCCATTTGCATTGCGAGAATGTTGCGACGAGCGTAGGACATAAATGTTGCTAACCATCAAATGCAACAGTTACGATTTAAATCGGAATTGATGGTACTTGTATGTCCATTGGGGCTTTCTGGTTACCTATAAACCAATTTGGGGACAACCAGGGTACAGAGCTAGGCTCGGTGATTAATTCTACCCGTGCATCATTTCATCCTATCGGACGTAATTTCACCATTATCATTTGACGGGTACTAATTTCCCTTCCGTGTATTCCAATTTATCACCCTCTCGGCTAACCACTCTGTACTCTGTACTCTGTAGAAACTATAACAGCTCACATGTCACGACTCTGAGTTGTGAGTGACACTCCCTCTTCACCTCCTGTCGTCTGTCTGAAACCGACTCCAAACGGCGCCGTCCGTCGCACCGCAGTCCCGTTACTGCGGCTTATGCAGATCGCTCCCTGACGTACGGCCGAACACTGCCAGACCCCCCGCTGCTTCTGACCAGCTGCTGTGCTCTGTGGGCGTGCTCAGAAGCCGTGCTCTGCGGCTGTGCTCTGCGGGCGTGCTCTGGAGCCGTGCTCTGCGGGCGTGCTCTCGAGCCGTGCTCTGAGAATGGCCGTCTGGCCGTGACCCTTTCGTGGTAATCTCTGGCGGAGCACTCAGAAGTACTGTCTGAGGGAGCCGTGCACTGCCCAGCCGATCTCACTGTGAATTGAGCCGTGACATTGAACTGACAGTTACGTTTTGTTGGATTGCTTCATCGGGTTGTTGAGGGGTGCACACAGCTGGTATATGACTGCTGTCCATATTCCAATCCCATCTTCCTGTCGTCACTATGTCGTTTGTTTGACTGGACCACCTAGCTTCGCCGTCACTTCGTTGGCTACCGGTGCACGACGTGCACCCGCAGTTCAGCCACCGTAGTTCTGTCGTCCCAGCCTCGTGACCCGTCCCATCTAGATATCCGTCCGCTGTCAGAGATGGAACATGGGCTTGATTTGTTAACACGAGCCGTGCTCACGTCTTACCCCTGACATTCGCTTGGCGTTGCAAGCACTTGATAACTGGTCAGCGAAATATCAGCAGGAGTTAGCCAACAATTTCGGGTTTCAAATTTCAAATGTATACGTTTCCCCTTCAAATGTGTCATTTCATTTGGTTTGGGATCGATTGTCGGAATGTTTGCTGGTTGAGAGACGGATGGTCATTGGTCACTGTCAGCGTTTATTAACACGCGCACCGACGGGGGGGGGGCGGATATCCGCCCCCCCCCCTGAGGTTTTTCGCGGATAGCGGGAAAACCGCGGCGTAGCGCCGCGAAATTTGGTACAACTATTCTCTCATCGATTTTACACATGGTGTGCAAGTTTGAACCTCCTACCTTTGAAGGTCAGGTCACCAGGTCACTTTGAATGACCCAGCCTCAAGTCACTTTTTTGCAACTTTGTCACCGTGCCAGAGCTACAGTAGATGTCGGAGGCCTTTGAAAGTCGCAGGATGTTATGAGGTCATTAGTAGCTACAATTTGTATATCTCGGAATTTTGATGTCGGTGACCTAAGGTCAGGTCAATTTCGCGACCTCCCCATTATAAGTCAATGGGGGAAAAATCAACTCCCTGTTTTTACCACTAAAACGGGTCGGAATGGCCCCATATACCATACATGACTTCATATACGATCAACCTTCACTACCTTGAGGTCTGTTTTGCTGTTGGGCAGCTGTAAGGTCATGTGACGTCATCAAAGGTCACCAAAGGTTTTTTTGCCAATAACTCCGTACAGGAACAAGATACAGCCGAGCGGATGGTCTCATTGTGTTCAGCTCGTCAAGACGCATCGAATGATATACATGATGACCTCGAGGTCACGTGACCTGAGGTCAACCTTTGACCTTGACCTTTCGAGGTCAACATATATATCATTCGATGCGGATTGACGAGAGGATCACGATGATGCCCTTAGTTTGTTCCTATCATGACTAATTCGAAAGTTATTCGAGAAAAACTCTCCTTATCTAGCGCCGCCATTTTGACTTTTTCGACCCCTGTGACGTCATCTTTGACCTGACCTGAAAATGACCTTTGTAAAAATTGTAGACCTTGTCCGTGCGTATCCGATGCCGTTTACTGCTTGTCGCTATCTTGCTTCGTTCTCGAGATCTCAGGGGGGGGCGGTCATCCGCCCCCCCCCGTCGGTACGAAGTTGGCGCAGACCCCCGTCGGTGCGCGGGTTAACCCGGCAGTTGCTGGGGTATTTCGCCACCCACCGTTTGCTGGGGGGGGGGCGTTAAACGCCCCCAGCCGATAACTCGAGAACCAATAGGCGCAGCGAAACGCACGAGGCGGCAAACGAAAGAACGCGACGAGACGCTTCAGATGAGTACTTTAAAGTTGAATTTTGAGGTCACAGGTCGGGTCAAGGTCAGGTCAAACACCTGAAATCGGGCTTTCAGTAGCATTGACTTCAGGACTTCGCAATGGGCGCCTCTCGTCATAAACTCTGTCAAAACGGTGCACAATCCATCATATAAGGCCTACAAGAGTGTCAGCTCCATGTAGGGGTTAGTCAAGCATAGGTCAGGGTCAAGGTCAGGTCAACCGGGTAGGCACATATCCCCAAAAATCAAAACTGATATTCGCAGCCTGTGACACATGTTTTATGGGTAATTTGGGGCGTAGAACACGATGGTGACATTCATTTTATCATATGTGTACGTGTTTGGCTCAAAAAGTTCAATTTAAGAAATTCATGTATCATGGTCGTGAAGTAGTCAAGAGAAATTGCCAAGATTCAGTTCAAGATTTTGGAAAATGCGGAACGATAATCAATAATCGAAGATAGCCATTTGATTGTTCATAGTATTGGCAGTCTAATGGCGTTTACGGCATGTCTGTATGTCTATTCTGTGATTTTATATGATTTTTTGAACATATGCCGTTTTTGGTCGAAAACTCAGAAATCATGACGTCACTTGAACCTCGATATCTCAAAAATTTTCCGACCGATTTTTTTGAAACTTTGTACCAATAAACATAAATCAATTCCCTACAGGTACCCAAAATTTGGCGCGCCTGCGGCGCGCCGTTTTTATGCTATGGCCCGGCGAAAAAAGTGGGGGCGTTTAACGCCCCCCCCCAGCAACTCGCGGGTTAAGATGTGCTAGCGGGGACACGGGCACGCCCTCATGGTTTGTGGAATGAAGCTAGGACGGTTGCAGTATGCACCAGGTCATATTTTACGTCTTACGTAATGTCGGGGAATGATGATGATTTCAGACTCCCGGGCTCAGACATGAGACGAGGGTTTCTGTATTTGGTGCAGAGGAATAAGGTCGGGGTCGTAAACAAATGATTAAATGAGGAATTCATTAACGAGGAGACTCATGACTTAGGCATTTCGCTGGGTGGTGAGAAGTTCAGCTTAGGCTGTTATGATTATTTGCGTTCATTAGCGAATCGTTTTCTTTTCTTTCTCTCGCAACAGGGATTACTTTTTAATTCATCACTGCTTCCGAAGCACAACAGCCTATTTACATATGTATATATATATGTATATTGTATATTGTATTGTATATATATATTGTATATTGATATGTATATTGCACAAAAGTTGCGAAACGGTTCCCCTGAAAGGAATATACAGAGTGCTGGCATTTCTGATGCTCAGATTACAGGTTATTTTCTGCTATTTATGCGAAAACTTTGAACTATTAAGCCATCAACATTAGCTTTCAGCTCAACTTATAACAAAAATCACACAGTTCGCCGAAACTGTTGCCCTTAACAAACCAGTCATGAGAGCAGCGTGAAATATGTGCCCATAACGACTGCCGCTAAAGGGCCGAGTCTGATCGGTCGGCTCGGTCACGGCCCCGGTCCCATGTCACGGAGCGGTGGACAGTCTAAGTCGGCCGACCCCTCGTGATCCGACCATCTCAATAACCCCGGCTCGGTCCGTCATCAATTGAACGCCAATCCCGGG